ATTTAAACATGATACCCGAAGCACTGATTATATACAGACCAATCATTTCAAACTCTATTCGAAATCACCTGGAGAAGCACAAGTTGAATCAATGAATCCCAACATGGCTTCACAAGCGGGCATTCATTTCCAACTAATCTATTAACATTCTTTTCATGTTTTTAAATCAGTGGACAAGGGGCACAATTATGATGTGGTATATCTCGACTTTAGCAAAGCCTTAGACAGAGTCCCCCACGAAAGACTAATAAGAAAAGTGGAGGCTCATGGAATTAAAGGAGATATTCTAAAATGGATTATGACGTGGTTACAGGACAGGAAACAGTGCGTGAGCATTAACGGCACTAAATCCGATTGGAGCAACGTCACTGGTGGAGTTCCTCAAGGCTCAGTACTTGGACCATTATTATTTATTATATACATAAACGACATAGATATCGGCGTAGACAGCAACATAAGTAAATTTGCTGATGACACTAAAATAGGGGATGTAATTAAATCTGACGAGGACTCTGCAAGACTACAGGAAGATCAAAACAAATTTTTCAAATGGTCTGAAAAATGGCAGATGAAATTCAATGTGGACAAATGTAAAGTCCTCAGTATAGGAGATGTAAACAGGGAAACAAGATACTAGATGGACAAAGATGTTATTGAGAAATCCGACTGCGAGAAAGATTTAGGAGTAATGATAAGTAGGAATCTTTAGCCAAGTAAACAATGTGTATTTGCTCGAAACAAGGCTAATAAAGTACTTAGGTTCATACAAAGGAGTGTTAGTTACAAGACTAGTGAGGTCATCCTAAAACTATATCTGCGCTTGTGAGACCTCGCTTGGATTACGCAGTTCAATTCTGGTCACCGTATTTCAGAATGGATATAGAATCCTTAGAAAGAATTCAGAGAATGACAAGACTAATCCCGGGCATTAGGAACCTTGAGTACAGAGACAGGTTAAAGCATCTTAATTTGCACTCCTTCGAGGTAGAGTGAGGGGCGCTATGATAGAGGTGTATAAACGGAAGTCAGAGCTAAACAAAGGAGACATTACAAAGGTATTTAAACTATCCAACCAGGAGCGAACTCGCAAAAATGGTTTTAAATTAAAAAAAAAATTAGATTTAGGCGCAAAATAGGTAAACATTGGTTTGGAAATAGAGTAGTGGACGAGTGGAACAAGTTACCAAATACCATCATTAACTCGAATACGCTGGATAGCTTCAAACATAGGTTGGATGGATATATGAGCAATAGGGGTTGGGTGTAAATGGGACTGCCCAGTATAGGCCAATAGGCCCGCTGCAGTTTCCTCCTTTCTTGTGTTTACTGATAGAATAGTGCTTATTCATGTCATTGTTGCTAGGTTAGCTCATCATTGTAACCACCAGGCTACTGAGCCAAGCTGTGAAGTGTTATGGTTTTTTCAATTCGTATTTTTGGGTAGATATACATAACCTTCATTTATTTTTACTCATTTACATGCATACACCATCCTACATGCATATTGTGAAAAAGTATACAGTATTACACCATAATTACCGACATCCTTCATGTTGGGTTGGTTAGATGGCTACGAAAGAAATTCCGTATGTTTGATCTTTGTATCAACCCAGCTGGCGCTGTATGGCAACTTGACCACTCCACTTTAATAACAAAGCACCGAGTTGACTTGAGGGTAAACTCGCATTTTTTCTACATTACATTTTGTTGTCGTGTTTATTATTATTTGTGAGAGGATTTCCCCATTATTATTCATTTGTATGCATTTATGTAATAATAATAATAATAAAGATAATAACAACTATAATTAATGGTTTATTGAAAGAGCATGGCAGCCAGTAGGCTGAAAATATACAGTTACATAATTGGGGAATGGGTTACATGAACTGACAAATAACTTAAGTGATACAAATATGATATATAATTAAGTGGGGAAAAGGTTATACCACAGGGCATTTCAACAAACTGACAGTGCAAAAAGGTAAGACTGGCTGGGAGTGAATACATACACTGGCTGATTACAATTGTTGATAATTTTTATAATGGTTGGGACTAGCCTGTTCTTATAGCATATGTGTGTGTGTGTGTGTGTGTGTGTGTCTACACACACAAACATATACAAGTATACTGTACAAGAAATAATTGCCCTAAGGGCAACTGCAGAAAGGGAATATACATTTCTTTGCACACAAGTAAAAATGTAACCCCTCCTCCCTTCCCTGTGATTATTAGATGTATTAATTGCCTGTATGTTGACCTGGCGAGTTAAAGCTAAGCATTTACATGCCTAGGTATAAAGGTAGACGTCGCATTCTGGACTACAGGGTATATCACAAAAACAGGTTTTTAGAATTTTTTTAGGGGGGACATAATATCAAAATATTCAACTGGCTTGTAGTAGTGAAAGCACAAACTCCTCAATATTCCTGGCTTTTCAGACATTTGATTCCCTTCAGTTAATGCAGAGCTAGTAACTGGTAGGAGTATGAAATGCAAAAAGGCAACTCAGGGATAACTGTAACACATTGTCTCAAAGACAATATTTGTGACACTGTTACATTAAGAATATTCCACACATTCCAAATCATCTGCACAGTTTTCAATCATGCTGTAACAAATTTCTCTAACTTGGCACATGTCTCACAGGCATAAAATTAAATAGATTACAGGCTTTAAATAGAAAATATGTTTGATGTATGATTCTTTACTCAATTTTAAAGTTTCTTCATAAGTGGGGCACAGTAGATAATTTGATAAAAAATTGTCACATATATCCAGCTGGAAACCTTAAACCTTTAATTTACATGAGACACCCCAGAATTATCAAATAAATAAAAACCTTTCATGGGTTCATAAAAAAAAATGAAATGGCTCTGGTGTTTGAGGTAAATACTGTATATGAAAGGTTAAAAATGCAGAATAGTTTCTTCATTTGCATTACCTTATTTGTAGGCACTACTGGCCTATTATCACAATAAGTAACAGAAAATAACAATCACATCTTCTGAGAACTTTAAGGCCACAAAGATCCAAAACAAAATAACTTTGGATTCATGACATATAATACAGGCACAATAATTTTGAATAAAACCCTGATAGAAATGACAATAGCTTACAAGAGAACAAGAACTGAGGCTAGTGAAATGATCAGCATTAGAGATTTCTCAACAGGTATTAATAGCAGGTCATAAATATAATTATATAAAATTACTTAAAAACAAACAAGAATAGAAAAAACATGTTTTAATGTGAAAATACCAAAAGAAAAAAGAAAACTCAGTACTGTTTCTTAAATTAAAAAAGCAACTTTAAACAGCATAAAATAAATCATGTTCAATGTTTGGGTGTTTGATGCAACCAATGAGCACTGCACAAATTCTAGCATCGCAATTGTCAAAAGAATAAAAAAATATATATATATTGTGGCCACCATAAATAGTGGCAGAGCAAGTAGTCTACCAGTACTTACGCCCGGCCTCATTAATACACTTCATAGTTGACTCCTACGTACTGAATTAAAATAAGGTTAATAAGATATACAGTTTAGGCAAGATGTCTAGCAGAGTAACCACAACACTGAAATATACACACAATATACGGAAAATTTCATTAGAGATTAATCACGCACATCACTAGCCTCGTGCAATGTTATGGACAAAAGTACTGAAGTACTGGTAAACCACGTGCTCCACCATTATTTATGGCAGTCACTGTATATGATACCGCGTCGAACACTGAGTTACCAGCTTCCATGTATCAGGTACAGTGGTCCCTCGGTTAATAATGGTTCGATTAACGAATTACCTTCCATTAGGATCTTCAATTCAGTTAACGATCAAAACTTTGATTAACGAAATCCTTACGAACAACACGTTTTGTTGTGAGTATCAGCTGACCAGCTGATGGGCTAGTCTGCCAATTCAGTAATCTGTTCTATGTTTACATTCGTTTCCAGTGGAGTAAATATAAAGAAAGTTGTGATCTTTAATATTTTTTCATTTTTTATATTAAAATTATTAGTCATTTTAAAATTTAGTTTACATATTGATAATATATGCAATACAGGGAACTAGTTTTTTGTGCGCCCATCAGCCGCTTGACTCAGCCACCAGGCGTTAGTTTGGCTTTGTTGACAGTGGAGTGAACATCTATTTTGTTGGTGTCTTGAATATTTTTGCATTTTTACATTGAAATTATTGGTCATTCTGAAATTTAGTTAACATATTGATAATATATAGAGCAGCCAGTGTTGATTTAAATAAAATAATCTTGAATTACACCAAGTGAACTTAAAATTTTATTGGTGAAATGACGGCATCAAGCACGGGTCCCCTGAAAGGTGATTTCTCCTCCATCCCCACTTCCTTCTCTTCTCCCTTCTCCTCCACACCCCCACTTCTAATTCCCATCATCATCATCAACCAGGAACCTTCTACATACACACCTCAAAGTAAGTGTACTTTACTGCATTTTTTTTTACTTTGTATGTACTGTACTTTTCTGTGAACTGGAACCAATTGCCCAATATCCCATTGAAACAATGGATTCAGTTAACAAACGACTCTGTGGAACGAATTGTGTTCGTTAACCGAGGGACCACTGTACTGTGCTCCTATGCAAAAACATATTTCTATTAGATGGGAATTGTTATCCATGGACATGTATACTGTAATACCAAACCACATTAAAAGGTATTTTCTAATAACAGATAACAAGCAGCCCTCAGTAAAATGAAATGTCTGGATCTGGCCTATTTGCTTAAAAGGAAAGCAACATCTGCAAAGCATAACTCTACAGTAAACACAGTACACCCACCTCTCGTTTTACGCGGAGGTTACGTTCATGAAAATCACCGCTTAATTCAAAAACTCTTAAATTACACAAAATTTTCCCATAAGAATACATGTAAATGGTAGAGGTTAGGGTAACCATCATATACCATACAGGGTACGAACAGTGCTCTCACTTAAACCAAGCACGCGGCCAACCTCTGACACACGCTCTGCTCTGTGAAGGTGGGTGATCACATTTAATTTCACATCCGTTGCGATTGTTTTTCGTGCCTTTTTAGCTTTAGGCGCCCCAGAGGAGGCAGATGGACGTTTTCCAGACATGCTCAATGGGGTAAACAGCATTTAACACTAAAAAGGTATGTGATAAACACACAATGCAAAAGAAAGCAGAGAGAAAAAGTAGTGCTGGTGTGAGCTGAGAAAGCAATACGCGGGAAGCTTGCTGGACGTCGTTTCATCATTAGTAGTAATAACCGTTATTATTACATTATAATAATTATTATTAATAATATTAAAATCGTTGATGTTGATATGACTGCGACTTTAGTCATAACTTACAAGCACCTCACCTGGCATCACACGTGGCAAATTTAAACCGCTTTGAACTCGTTATTTAAAAAATAACTGCGCATAAATTACCTTTTGGTATTAATTGAACAATCACGTTATTCAAAAAACGTTTAAATCAAACGCGAGTTACCTGTACAGGCATCCCCTACGTTACCAAAACTGTAAAAATAATTTATGTGAATACTCTGTGGTAGCCACAAGGCAGTTTCAGTATATTTGATTCCCCAGCCATGATCAGCTGTGCCAATTTCTGGACATATTCTTATTTAAGATGAGTGGAAAGAGGCCATCAGTGCAAGTGCTAGCAGTGTTAAGAGGTTTGAACATGGGGAGAAGCCGAGTTACATTTCCAAGAATTTGAGCCTTACTACCTCCACTGTCGGAACAATCCGTGATAACAATGACAAAATTAGGGTTAGTGAAGAAGTTGCTACTCCATTGTCAGCCAGCACACTAAATTTTCATCGGAGTGATGTTATGATAAAAATGGAATGCTTAGTCAGTGTGTGGATTGAGGACCAGACCAAGCAAAATATGCCCATTAACACCAAGGTAATTCAGAAAAAAAGCTAAGAGGCTGTATGCAGATTTAAGTCACAAACAAGGTGCTAGTTCTAATGAAAAAACTTTAAGTGCCAGCAAAGGGTGTTTTGAGTATTTAAGAAATGATCAAACCTACAAAACATTAAGATGGTAGGTGAAGCAGCCAGTGCTGATACTGAGGCTGATGGATACACACCACAAGTGTACAATGTTGACAAAACAAGCCTCTTTTGGAAATGCATGCCCGCCAGGATATTTCTTTAAACCGAAGAGAAAACAGCTCTTGGTTTTAAGGCTTCCAAAGATCTGTAAGGGTTCTGTTAGGGGGTAATGCTGCAGGAGATTTGAAATTAAAACCCATGCTTGTGTACCACTCAGAAAATCCAAGGGCTTTTAAGGCCTATGCCAAATCTAGGTTACCAGTGATATGGCGCTCTAATAGGAAAGCATGGATGACTGACAGCCTGTTCCAAGATTGATTTACAAACTGTTTCTTACCTGTAGTAGAAAGGTACAGTAACCAAAAAATATTGCCAACAAAGCCTTGTTACTTCTATATAATGCTCCCAGTTACCCTGTGAACCTTAATGATCTTTCCAGTAATATCAGGGTTGAATACCTGCCCAAGAACACAACTTCCTTGCTCCAGCCTATGGATCAAGGTGTGATTGCCAGCTTTAATGTGTAATATTTATGCAGGACTTTTAGACAACTTGCAGGTGCAATGATGGCAAGGATCAGTAATCAGTCAGAGATTTCTGGAAGAAGTTTAATATCATAAATGCTGCAGAAAACATTGCCAAGTGATGGGATGTGGTCAAATGTACAACTATGAATGGTGTGGAAGACCATCAGGCCAGACTGTGTCCACGATTTCAAAAGTTTTCCCCAGGTTCAGACCTTCGATCAGGTGCAGCAGGAAATTTTAACTCTAGCAAATGGTGCAGGGTTCGACCAAGTGAATCAGGATGGTGTGGTTGAGCTGTTAAGAGTCACACAGAGAGGATCTGTCCAATGAGGATCTTATGTTAATGGAACAGGAGTGAGCTGCTGGTGAGGAACAGGAGGACACCTGTCCAGAAGTTCCATCTACATCTTGTGAATTAACAACAAAGGTTTTGCATTTCTGGTAAGCAAAATTGGAGTGTTTTGTTCATTTATTATCATGTAACATCATGAATGACTCACTGAATGTGGTTAAAACCGTCTAATTTCATACGTATATCTGCTTGTGTCACGTTCTTGGGCCTCAAAAAAATTCCCATAGAAATACATCTCAACTTTTATAATGGAAGTCAATGGGAAAAATGGTTTCGCATTATGGAATTTCGCATTGCAGAAAGATTTTCAGGAACGGAACCCTTCTGTAACCCGAGGGATGCCTGTACATAAAACTTTTAAGGGAATTAGAGAGACTGGTAGTGAAGAGGTAGACTACATGTTTCACAACTTAATTATATTCTCACTTTTGAGATATGCTGTATGGAGGATTAAATATCAATACAAAGATAAATTACACATCTTTTCAATTTAAACTTGATTTAGCTACAAAAAAATATTTCAATTACATTTGGCAGCAATTGTTGTTTTTTGCTTTATAAACAAAAATCATTTGCATAAAGCAAATGTTAACTAGCCTGACAAAGAATTCAAAATTTATTTAGCTACTATACTGTACTTCTATTACAGTACATAATTTGGTGTTTAGTACAGTAATGACAACTTCATGATACATTTCTTTGCCATCTTTTCCATAAATTTCATACATAACCATCAAAGACATTTCAGTCCACTATCACAAGAGACAAAACTTTCCCACTTGTCAGCACTACAGTAAAGTACTCAGCTTAATTGTAATTGCACTGGTGCACAATGGCAGCAAATACTTTATAATTTGTTCATTACTGTAGTTTTCTTAATTATCACCATCTTCTTCTTTGCCTCTTTTCCAAATACATACCATATTATTGGAAGTGACAGCAACAATGTGATGGCCACCAGGTGAAACTGCACATTTATCAACAACTATATCATAAGTGTCTAGTCGTAACTTGCGAGCTTTCTCCACCTGCAACAGAAATAAACATAATACCAAAGGTGATTTTGGTAATCATATTATGCATGAAGTATGCTGAAGGTATATATTACAATAAATTAATAAAAAACACATCTAAGTGATGTCACAGTTCAGCCAGGCAGTCAAGTGACAGTGGAGTTAACCAACTGACTGAGACGTGTGTGTGCCGTGACGTCACATGGAAGGGAGGGAGGCGGGTAAGTCAGCCACGCAGTAAAGCTTACCGAGTGGACTTCACATACTTTCAGCTCCCACACACACACACCTATGCTCTTCATATTTCTCATTTTATAGTTTTATACAGTATTCTCTTAAAGCTCGTGGGGGTTAGGTAGAATGAACCCCGCGAGAAAGCAAAATTCGAGAGTTTTTCATGTCGGTTCCCGAAGTGTGCAAAATATAGTACTGTACAGTACATACAGTATAGTATAAACAGCTATATGCACATGCATAACAACATTCTGTACACATATCCCTTAAACTACTAGGGTATAAACATGGCCCTCGCCCCTCCACAGATTGCACTATGGGTTGAATGTGGTGCAAGGGAAGTTGTGTACTTTCCAGCACCACCATAAACACTGTCCAAGACCACCACCACAATCACTTCCCAGCACCACCACCACAATTACTTCCCAGCACCATCACCACCAAAACAATCACTTCCCCATATACATGCTCGGTTTTAATGGATATTTCCCCTTATCTAATTATTAGTGTCCCTTTAAACTTATTGGTAAATGCTATTTTAATAGAATAAAATTATTGTAAACTCAGTCTTATTTTAACTAAAATACATAACTACAGTAGAGTGTAGTACTGAAAATCAATTTCTTGCCTTGTCATATGATGAATAACGATTTTGACCGAGTACAAAGCAGGCATGTTGTTGTGATGCAATCTGGGCTGGTGGAACCATGTTGCCCATGTCTAGCCGTTCTACAACACTAACAAAAGACCAGCGAGATAGGCAAGATGTATAAAAGAACATAGACTATGATATAGTGCACTTGAGAATGTTCTCAGGAATGGAAATCGTTCATAATCCCGGGAAGCCCTGTACTAGTCTTTTATTTTTTAAAGTGTACTATACTAGTCTTTATATTTGCTTAAGTGAGAGAGTGGTAATAATTGTGATGCCCCACACCACAATACATTCATTTTAAAGAGTTACTTATGATTTGTAGTTTGACAACTGCATGATGTCGCTGTAATATACAGAATAAAGATATTATACTGACATTGTTGTAGATGCTCACCCTATCCTTGTGATTTATGAAAATATAACTTATACTGTATATTATGATGATTATGATGATATACAGCAGGATCTCAAGTTTTGCGACTAATTGGTACGGTTTTAGAGTCGCGAAATTTAAAATCACGAAATGAGTGACATTGAAATATAGTGGACCCCCCATTAACGAGCGGTTCAATTTAGGAGTTACCTCCCATAAGGACTTTCAGTTCTATTAACGAGTACAAATCTATTAACAACAGCCTTAAGAGAAACATGTTTTGGGGCGCGCATCAGCTGATCAACTCGTTCGCCAATAATCGGTTCTATTTTTACCTTTGTTTCCAGTGGAGTAAACATCGAGAAAGTTGTGCTCTTGAATATTTTTGCATTTTTAAATTTAAATTATTGGTCATTCTAAAATTTAGTTAACATATTGATAACATACAGTGCAGTGTTGGTTTAAATAAAAAAAATCGACCAGAATTTCAGAAGATTCGGACAAAATTTTTTGGGGTTCTGGGCTCAGAAGCCTCCCCTAAGAAGCATTCACAAAACAGGGAGAAGGTAATTATAGGCTTAAAGTTTTTATCTTTGTGAATTTTGGAAGAAATATAATAAAAATGCAGTGGACAGAATTGTTGAGGCATGGCGGAAGATTAATGTTACATCAGTGCTACACACATGGAAACCCTTGTTCGCGAACTCCAAGATAAGTGGGGCAGAGCAGGCCGAGGCAAGCAGGAAGAGGCAACACTAATGGACACAGTGGAGGCAGCGCGGTCAGTCCCAGCACTGGGATTTTCGTATGTTCAGGTAGAAGATTTGTAAGAAATCATTGGTCTATATCAGCAGCAACCAACAGTTGAAGAAATGTTGGAGGAGGATGAAGAACAAGGTCAACAGCAAGCAACACAAGAGGATGACGTTAAGCCTGGTGAACCTACAACACGCCAGCTGACTGAGATGCTCACAAGCATCGCACGTTTCAGTGAGCAGCTACAAGAATACGATGCCAGGCCTCATCCTTGGAACCTTATCTGCCCTGCCTTTGATAAGGTTATGGAGGAATATAAGGCCTTGTAGTATCTTGGGTTATTTAATGGGAGAATGAAGAGTCACATGGTCTGTCTGGCTGGCTGTTTATTCTCTGTTCTTGGTTACCACGTGCCTAACACATTTCGTAAGAAGTAACATAATATATAATATATACATTCAATAAATGCAGCATATAAACATACATATCTATAACACTATTTTTCCCTTTCAAAAGAGAGCATGGCTGCTACAAATCCTAAATAAACAAAACTTACAGAATTACATATGGCAGGGAAGAAGAGAATAGAACACAACAAATATAACTTCCTAACTAAACAGTTTTGAAAGGCCTGTTCACAATTCAGATAATTAGAGGTCTAATTTAATTACAGGTCTCCTAACTCTGTTTGATCTTCTAGGACTATTCCCTCCATCAAGTTTTACAGGGGTTTTACTTGCACTCTGTGCATTATCAGTGACAGACATATCATCACTACAATCAGTTGACACAGTGAGTGGATGCTGGGAAACATCATCTTTGACATCATCATGATGATGATCATCTGAAAATGTGTCAAGTTTATCATCATGTCCTGGTGCTACATTCATCTCGTCATGTGCCTGAATGATGTGATCCACATGAACATACCTCAAAGAGTTACCACATTTCACTAAATATGTCCTAGATCCACATACCTTGTCGATGACACCAGTTATCCACTTTGCATGTACAGTACCATAACCTTTAGCCATGTTCCTAACTCTCACCCTATCATTTACCTTGAACACTCTTTCACTGGAACTCTTATCATGATACATTTTTTGTTGAGCTTGTTTCCTCTCTACAACTTCAAACAGACTTGGCTTAACTAAACTTAATCTTGTTCTCAACTGTCTCTTCACCATTAACTCTGCAGGAGTACATTCTGTCACACTATGTGGCGTGGTTCTGTATCTGAGTAAGAAATTTGCTAGTCTGTGTTTCATTGATTTTCCTACAGTTCCTTGAATTACCTGCTTGGAAAGTGCTTCCTTTACAATTCTAACTGATCCCTCAGCTGCACCATTAGAGGCAGGATGATAGGGTGGGATCAGTACATGCTTTACACCGTTGAATCTCATGAAGTTTTTAAACTCTGATGATTGGAATGGAGGACCATTGTCAGAAACTACCTCTTCTGGTATTCCATGTTCGGCAAACATTAATCTTAATTCATCAATGGTGCTACCAGCATTAGTACTGTACATGTGCTTAACATCAATCCACTTTGAATGACTATCAGTTAATACAAGAAATTTGTCTGTTCCCTTATCACAGAAGTCAATGTGTACTCTTTGGAAGGGACGGGTAGGCCATTTCCAGGTTTTCAAAGGTGTGCTGGGTGGCATACTCCTAACATTCTGACAAACAGAGCACTCACATACCATCATTTCTATTTCACCATCCAGTTTAGGCCACCACACAAAACATCTGGCCAGTGCTTTCATAGCACATATACCTGGATGTTCAAAATGCAGTTCATTCAAAATTTGCCCTCTAAAACACTGTGAAATTAACACCCTCATACCCCACAACACACATCCCTGTTCTACTGATAATTGACATCTCCTTAAATGATACGGTTGAAAGTCTAAGGATGGACAAATCTCTGGCCATCCATTTAGTGTATACTCCAGGACTCTTCCTAATACAACATCTTTCCTAGTTTCATGAGCAATCATTCCGGAGGTGACTGGAAAATCTTCTGCTATCATGGTTACAGCATAAACCTTAGGCTCTACTCCATCATTTGATCCACTACCTGGCAACCTTGACAAAGCATCTGCATTGGAATGATCATCTGAACGTCTGTACTGTATCTCATAGTCATATGCCGACAATATCAAAGCCCATCTCTGCATTCTTGCTGCAGCAAGTGTAGGAACAGGTGATTTAGGACCCAAAATTGCCAAGAGAGGCTTGTGATCAGTTATTAAAACAAAATTCCTCCCATATAGATACTGGTGAAATTTCTTTACTCCAAATATGATAGACAAAGCCTCTTTCTCTATTTGTGCATAATTTTTCTCGCTTTGGGTAAGAGTTCTCGAGGCATATGCAATGGGTCTTTCTTCACCGTTATCCATTATGTGACTTATGACAGCACCTAATCCATAGCCTGATGCATCACAAGCAAGCTTTAGTGTTCTACTGGTATCATAGTGGACCAAAACATCAGTACTAGACAGAGCAGCTTTACAATCTTCAAATGACTTCTGAGTTGCACTGTTCCATTTCCATGGTATCCCTTTCTTTAATAGTTCATGCAGAGGGGCTAAAACTGATGAAAGTCCACTCAAGAACCTTGAATAATACTGTATCATACCTAGGAAAGCTTTCAATTCACTGACATTTTTTGGAGCAGGTAAATTTACTATGGCTCCTACTTTATCTTCTGCAGGTCTCAGCCCTTCTGCATTCACTTTGTAGCCAAGATAAGTTACTTCTTTAGCTAGGAATGAACTTTTGCTCTTGTTGAGCCTGACATTGTGTGCCAACAATCTTTCGAATACTGTGGCTAGGGTTTTGACATGATTTTGGATGTCACTGTCAACAATAAAGACATCATCCTGAAAACATAACACATTGGGAAGACCCACAAGAATTTTGTCCATGATGCACTGAAATAACTTTGGTGCACTCTTAACACCATAAGGCAACCTTTTGAACTTATACAATCCTTTATGAGTGTTGATGGTAAGGTACTGTTGACTTTCAGCATCAACAGAGACCTGAGCATATGCTTGGGACAAGTCTAACTTTGTGAAAATGGTTCCACCTGTTAGTGCAGCAAACAAATCTTGAGATGTGGGTGAAATTCAAGATGATTTTCTTTAAATCAACACTGCACTGCATTATATATTGTCAATATGTAAAATAAATTTCAAAATGACCAATAATTTGCTTGCAAACACAGAAAAAAGCATTTAGTTGAAGAGAGTCTCAAGCAAGATGTTACCTCCACTGAAAAGACAGAGAGACTGGCACCTGTTTGGTGCGTTGCCAGGCTGGATGGCGAGCATAAAACTAGTTACCTTACCTTCAATTATGTTCAATAATTGTTAAAATGACTAAAAAATTTAATATTAAACTTTTAAAATTATTGAATATAATATAAACTTCTTGATATTTACTAAAATAGTAAGGAATTTAAGCCCTAAAACCGATTACTGTATTGGCGGACTAATACTACAGCTGGTGGACCGCCAAATGCAAGTGAAAACATGTTGAGGTCGGCTCGTAAAATACTTGTTAATCGAGGGATTGCTCGTTAACCGAAGTTAGGAACCTTATGGAAGGTAAATCGTTAACCGAGGCGCTCGTTAACCGAGGGATCACTGTACATCATTACTTCACGACGATATCGGACAGATTTGCAACAGCCAATTAGCTGTAACTGTTGAGGAGGGGGCAGGGCATCTTTTTTCAGCAGGGGAAAAAATGCACTACACCACTATCATTCTGGGGGGCGAAAATGTAATAATAATAATAATAATAATAATAATAATAATAATAATAATAATAATAATAATAATAATAATAATAATAATAATAATAATAATAATTCATAGGTCTAGGTTGTGTTTCTCACTGTTGATATTTTTTCATCCTTGTATTTCTTTTATCAATATTATTTTATTTTCATATTATTGTTATCATTCTTATTTTATTTTTGTGTATCAAACACCCCTTAACCGCAACTGGAAGATAATTATTTTTCTAATTTCCTGCCGCCGTGCACACAGGAATTGGTGGGCAAGGGGTGGAAGCGCCTGCACTCAGTGTTTCATTGTGCATTGTTGTATGCGGATCTTGGCTATTCGTTTTCATATTGTAGTATACTATTGTGTACTATGTGATGATTTATAGGCTACAAGTTGCGTAAATCAAACATTACTCTTGTCAATATTGAATATTGTATACAGCATTTTAAAAAAGGTTGTACAGACAGCTATACCCCAATAATACTCGACAGTATTTCTTACCAGCCTTAAACGGTATTTTAATGCATGAATAGCATGCATACCGTAGTAATAATATAAAAACACTCACCATGTTTAACCTTTATGTTTTCAAAGAGACTTATGGCCTTCCGCTGAATTAAGTTAAGGCTTAAAGGCATGCGGTGCTGATGCTGGTCTTCCAGCCACACACTCAAAAGTTTTTCCATCCCTGCGATTACTGAGCCTCTTTTCTTTCTAATGATCGTGGAATGCATTGGCACAGAACCTTTCACATGCTGCATAATGCGCTCTTTGTCCTTCAAAATTGTCCCAACAGTCGAACGATTCATCCCAAAAGCATTAGCTATGCTTATCATTTTCTCACCTCTTTCACAACGCTTTATAATGCCCACCTTAGTTTTCAACATAATAGTGCGACACTTCTTACTACCACCATCACCACTGGCATCACTCTTACGCTTCCGAGACATGTTGGGGTCAATAATATTCGTCAAAACCACAAATAACACTGTGAGGCAGCAGAGGAACACAACAACAATGGCACTAGGGATACAGGGTGACACTGAACAACCAATGCCATCTATTACGCGGTGGTTGAACTTATGATCCGGCGTGGTTTTCAAATAGGCAATTGTACATATGGACGGGTTTGTTCGTTATCTCTGAAAGTTTGTAACTTGAATGTTCGTAAGTAGGGGAGCTCCTGTAATCAACTAATAAAACAAGGAAAAAGCCCTGGCTTAGATAAACTATCAGTGGCAAAATGATTGTCTACTATACTGTACAGTATGCCCTAGCCTCCTGGGTGACACACACACATGTCCTACAGAACTGTCCTCCTAGGGGACACACAGATGCCCTATGGCCCTGACCTCCTGGGGGACATACAAAAACATGCTCTACAACCCTGTCCTCCTGGGGGACACACATACACATGCCCTACAACCCTGTCCTCCTGGGGGACACACAGATGCCCTACGGCCCTGACCTCCTGGGGGACATACAAAAACATGCTCTACAACCCTGTCCTCCTGGGGGACACACATACACAAGCCCTAATGAGTTGCCTATACAACTATGAAATATAGCATGGGTTATAGAATAAATTGTGATCATCAGAAAGTGTAAAACGATTATAAAAACTTTCAACAATTAGAACACAAATTCGTGGAGCTTCCCTTTGTGTGTTTTATAGCTGAATCGCCAGGCAAGAGATGAGCTTCGTCGTGCGCATGGAGGCTGGTTGATGGAGGGACTTTCAAAATAGCAATTAAATGCCAGGTAGCGACGTGTCCTCCTAATATTACTTATTAAGTAATTATGAGATGTTTTAATTGCCTGTATGTTGGCCTGACGAATTGGCTAGGAATTAACATACCTAGGTAGCATTGCTGAGCGTAGAATTCGAGCTATATCACAAAAACTGGTTTTTAGAAAAAACCGGCTTATTGTCAAACATGTCTGTCGTCATGGTCATACCCGCCCCATCCCCCCCCCCCAATTTTTCTCAACGGTTCTACATGATCCACGTGGGTTGCCTAAAATGATGGGGAGAAAAAAAAATGGAAAACCAGAAAAAACTGAAAAATCACATCCGACTGAATTATGTGTCAAATCTCAGTCTTATATATGACTGGGGGAGATACAATTTTTCTTATAATCTCTTCACTCCGGCCACTACAGCAACATCACTTTCAATACTTTATTCAGCTAATGCTAGACAATTTTATTCAGTTCATGGGCAACCTTGCACACAAGGGATTAAAAGAAGGAAAAAAATAAATAAATTTTTTTTAAACAACTTACCTCTGCATCTTCCAGTTCAGGCCAGTCTAAAATTTTTACTGGTTCAATTGGTGGTAGCTGTGACCCCTCAGTGAGCGGACTGCTAACTTTACCAGTGACATAGTCAGCAACGTTGTAAACCCATAATGCTCCTTTGTCATCACCACAGACAAGAATGCACGATACTGTAATAATAAAGTCACATTAAAGATCATAATTTAAATAGCCCCTATAGAGGAAACTAAGTTCTAATATAAGTACTCGACAGTCTACCCTCATAATATGTGGGGTTCCATTCTTTATAAATATTGCAAGGAAAATCACCTGTGGAAAATTTACCATCTTTTGAGAAAACAGGGCTAAGAGCAAAATGTTTGTGGATATTATGTACTGTATTCCAAAAATGTTACCTTTTTTCATTTTCTTTTTTTTTATGAGACATGAAATGGAATTAAGTTACTAATACTATATATATTTTTTTTAATACAGTAGAATATAATAAATTATAACATTCAGCTGCATTAAAATAGAGCATCATTGCAAAAGCAAGTTAATACAGGTTGTACCTCTCTAGTCCGGCAACCTCGAGACCTGACCGGTGCCGGACCATGGAAATTCGCCCATTTCCTGGATAGATAGTGACTTGTGCTTATGCTTGGAAGCTCCAGCACCACTTTCTCTGCATTATGGTCTCTTTGAAGACATATTGAAGGGTTAAATGTCGTAGAGTAGCTTCTCAAATTTCGCGAGTTTTTAATTCAACGTATTTTATTGGAACAAAAAAAAATAAGTAAAAATTTTGACGGCGGAAACTTGAATTTCGACGAGTTTGAACGACCCGCCAACGTGCAGACGACGTGCATAATCGTGTAAACAGCGTCATTTCTCTTATGTAAAAAAGATTCATTATTGTTTATTACTGAATGTCTTTTTTATTGAATTAATGTTTATGTGTGCAAAATGAGCAATACAATTCATTAATAATACGTAGAATATTAAAACACACGAGGAAATGACACAGCATTGTTTTCGTTGATCACAAAACCAGTGACTGACTGGTTCTACATATAAAACTGAAGAAAATAAGACCTTGGTTGAAGCTGTAGTAAAATTAATATGGTTGTTTTAAGTAATGTTATTTAATGTTAATAAATGGAACAATAGAAATAACTAACGATAATGGTAAAGAAAAAAGAGAGATCGCGTATGTAAGTGCGCACACGTAAAAACATATCGTCATTACTTGACATAAGAATATGAAAGCAACACCTATTTACTGTTCATATATATTTTAATTAATGTTTCTGAATTTGTTTTTAGTGCATTAATGTTTGTGTGTGCAAAATTAACAATACAATTTATTAATAATACCGTATATACCCGTGTATAGTGCGAGTTCTTAGGACCAAATTTTTTGGCAAAAAGTTGGGGGTCGACCTCTATACGGGTAATAGTTTCGTTAGGTTGAAAAATATTTACCAGTAACTACCAGTAAACAATGGAAACGACGCACCAACGCACCACCCGCTGTGAGTGTCGGTACAGTTGCCAGGGCAGATCTCTTGCGTCATCATAGCAAGCCCAAAGTAGCCAAATGCATGGTATGGTATTCACAGGAGAATGTAAAACATAAAGTATTCATTTTTAAAAGTTTATTTATAGATACATAAATTTTTGTTAATTAAATTTGAAACATCAATCTTTGTTAATTAAATTTGAAACAAAAGAAAAATACGATACAGTATTACCCCGCCTAACGCGGTTTCACTTAACGCGTTTTATCATATACGCGGTGCCTCGCCAGAGCTGAACTTTCACTTAACACGGATTTTTTCCACATATACGCGGTGAGTGTCCAGCTCGAGACGCTATTTTTAGATTTGCCCCACCCGCCACCCTGCCTGACTGCCTGTTTTAGCTCATAAAATTCATACAAATTACCAGCCAGAATTTAAATTCATATTCTGTTGGTGATCATTTTGAATATAAACATCATATATTTTGCATTAAACATACAATTTTAGATAAAAATTTTTCTCTAGGTAACTATGTTATCTTTTGTGCAAAATATATGACATTTATATTCAAAATATTCCTGGTCTTACAAGGAATCCAGCAATGTCAATTATATTATCCTAACTTTAATCTGAGGTATTATTTAATACTAAATGTTAAAAACTCTGGAAGGGAGGATTGGTGGGGGGTGGGGGGGAGGGTTGGGACTGACCGCGCGGTTGGAAGAGGGGGGGAGGCAAGGTGGGGTACTTTGATTGACAGATAGTGTCGTGAAGATTATTATTTTTTTATTAACTGAAGATATTTGTTTTAGCTCATAAAATTCATACAAATTACCCGGTCAGAATATAATTTACATTGCTGGAATTCTTATAATTTGGTGATCATTTTGAATATAAACATCATATATTTTGCATTAAACATACAATTTTTAGATAAAATTTTTTCTCTAGGTAACTATGTTATCTTTTGTGCAAAATATATGACATTTATATTCAAAATATTCCTGGTCTTACAAGGAATCCAGCAATGTCAATTGTATTATCCTAACTTTAGTTTGAGGTATTATTTATTAAAATTTAGTGGTTTCCCCCAAAAATTTCTCTGAGAGGAAAGAGCTGGCAGTGTAGTGTGAGAGTGGGAGGGAGTTGAGTCCATTATTTGAATGGACATTAACTTGGCGACTGTATTTCTCTATTTCTCTTAAGTATTAATTGTGTGCATGTACCATCATAAAATTAAGATGTTATTTTTACTGCAACATAGGTATGTGCCTTCAAAAAGTGGAGTTTGGGGGTCGGGCCGGTTTCTATTGGAATTAATCCCATATGTTCTGTTGTTCACTTAACGCGGATTTCACTTAACGCGGGACCCTCTGGGTTCAATTGACCGTGTTAAGTGGGGTACAACCGTACCTTATTTATAAATATTTTCATTGAAATATTACATCACAAGTATATTTTACCTTAACTGTGCCTGAATGAATATATTCTCAGAAATAAATATGGAAATGTAATATTTTTGCTGAAATGACGTACGTATTACAGTGGAAAGTGGGATAAAATTGTGACAAAAACAATGACTTTCACTTTCTTTCATCGTTCAAAAGATTTTACCGCAATCGCTTTTCGAATGGTTTTCAGTTAAAAAACTGTTGTATTACAATAATATTCTATCCTAATTGACTTGAATAAATACTACGATACCATATTTCTGAATATTTTCATTAAAACCCATCAAAATCATTTTCCTCGTCATCATCTGCAGCGCCAAACAGCTCCTCCCAATCCTCTCCTTGAACAGCATCGTCATATGGATCAACACCATCATCAGCCATAGGATCATCAATATCTTCATCCTCATTCACGCTCTCATTAGCCTCATAATCCCACAACAAGTCGTCTTCTGTTCCATCAAGAGCATTCGAAATCCCACATTTCTAAAAAGATTTCACCACAATTTCTGGTCTGATTGCATCCCAGGCCTCTACAATCCATTCACATAATGTTGCTAGTGATGGAGCTTGGATGTTGCCTCCCTTTGTGTATGTCTTATCGCCTTCTATCATCCAGTTGCTCCACTTCACTCTTACCGCATCATCAAATGGTTTGTTTATGGAAACATCCAGTGGTGGGACAAGACTTGTTAATCCACCAGGAATCACAGCTGTATCAGTGTTTTCCTTCCTAATCCCAGCAGTAACACTGTCAACAAGATGTGACCGAAACATATCCCACACAAGTAGACTTTTTTCTTTGCGCAGCCCCCCTGGTCTAAAGTTCCAGACTTTTTTAAGCCATATTTGTATGCCGCCTTCATCCATCCATCCTTTCTCGTGCACATGGATGATTTAAAAAATGCTGTCTGACTTGCAACACTGTTGGTAGGGTCAGGTGGTTCTAACAGCACCTGCCAGGACCCGGTAATCAAATTTATAAGTGTCTAACCTCAATTACTGTAGTTTATCTGATGTAGGCAATATGAAGTAAAAAATACCAGTTAAAGTGAGAAATTGGAAGAGAATAAAGAAGAAAGATGTCGTTGGGCTATTTTTGGTAGGGCTGAGGGAGAGAGTACCAGCTGTTTGGTCTTTTTTGGCGGGAGAGTCACGCAAATAACCGTAGTACTGGTATTTGTTTGGTGTCTTCTGTATTTTTAAAAATGAATACTTGTTAATTAAAAGTACCGTAACATTGTATTATATACAAACTTGTCATATTTCTGGAAAATAAGAAGCAAGAAAATAAAAATATACCGGTAAACACAATTTCAACATACGCTAAAATTAAAAGCTGCTTAAGAAGGGCCGATGCAAACACAAAGCCTCCGCGACCAGGGCTCTGCCGTATCAGCTAGACGGTACACGTGTTTTTCGAATCGTTTTCAGTTAAAAAACTGTTACATCACAAGTGAATTAGGAGAGAATATTATTGTAATACAACAGTTTTTAACTGAAACCATTCGAAAAGCGATTACGGTAACATCTTTTCAACGAAAGAAAGCGAGTCATTGTTTTTGTCACGATTTTATCCCACTTGCCACTATAATACGTACGTCATTTCAGCAAAAATATTACATTTCCATATTCTCAGAAATAAATAGTAGTTTTGCTGAAACGTGATGTATTTCAATGTAAATTAGGATAAACTACATGACGAAAACAGAAGACTTTACCAAACCTTTCGATGTTCAAGATATGTTACTCGTTTTTTTAATAGTTTTCGGTTAAAATACTGTTATATTAGTGATATTCTATTCATACTGTGGTTGATATAATACATTCACGGAAATGTAATATTTTTTGCTGAAATGACGTACGTATTACAGTGGAAAGTGGGATAAAATTGTGACGAAAACAATGACTTTCGATTTCTTTCGTTCAAAATATGTTACCGTAATCGCTTTTCGAATGGTTTAGTTAGAAAACTGTTGTATTACAATAATATTCCCTGCTAATTGACTTGAATAAATACTTGAATGGAAATATACAATATTTTCGTTGAAACTACCCGTGTTTCAGTGTAAAGTGTCGTAATAATAAATGGTAAACAAGTTTATAGGACGTAGTGTTTTTCTGAAGGTTTTGTTGTTCCTTTACCCTCAAAAACTTGGGTCGACCTATAAACGAGGAATATCATAAATTAACGATTTCTTGGCCAAAAAATCGGGGTCGACCTATATACGAAGGGGGGTTATAGACGAGTATATACGGTACCTCACAGGTAAAAAATAATGTCATTCAAGACATATTTAGGTCATAAGACCCAGTAATCCCCCACCCAACACTGGGTGACCTGACATTGCATCAGGTCAGGTTAGTAACGTGACCCAATAATCTCCCACCCAACCTTCATCGCAAGTGTTAGACATGATTAGTTACAGTATGAATTACAGTATAGTTAATTAAGTGAAGTGTGTAACAGAGATGTCACGATAGCCCAAGCGACTGATGAGCCGAGCAGTGGTGAAGAGGATAAAAGTAACAGCTCTACCCTGTATTCACACCTGTATCATGTAGAGCTTTTGTTTTTTTAAATATTTATTTAACCAAACTTTTAGAAAAGTATACAGGATTATTTTGATAAAAAAATGGTGTGTAACGAAATCAGAACTGATTTTACTGACTCCGGTATCAACATTTCTTATGGGTTTTTTATATACAGTAAAAGAATGGAATTCCCATCACTATATCATATAAAAATATTTTGTTTAAGGATATCTTATTGGAAACGTTTGGTAGAGAATTTATTAAGCATCAATATGGTATCAAATTCATCCCCCTATCACAATTAGCCACACTTGAGCGAGGAAGGGGGGGGGGCTGACCACACGAACCTACCCCCAGAAAGGTTTCAATTCCATCAACACACCAACACCACCACAACACACATACACCCCTACATCACACACAAACACACCCTCCAACAACCCCACACACACCCAGCAAGGGAATTAAGACATGTGCGTGTCTGTATGACTGCATGGTAGCAAGTTAAAGATTAACTCTTGAGGAGCGCTTGGCAACACTCATTATCACTCCATCTCTCTAATCACCCACACCTTTCAGCTTTCTCACTCCATATTTTAAAATGTTATGTAACATAATGTTGACGGGATACAAATTTGCTCATTTATACTTATATCTGTACTTCTCACAATCTCTCTAAAAATATTTTAGGTTTCGTGTTAATCGAGACTTCTTCAGGTCATGAGACCCACTAATCCTACACCCAAGAAAGGGTGACCTGACATTCCATCAGCTCAGTAATGAGACCACTAATCCCCATCCTACCTCCACCTGACGTTGCATCAGATCAGATCAGTTACACAAGACCCACTAATTCCCCACAGCTCTATGGGAGTGGAAAATAACAGTCTTTGCTGTAACACACAACTTCATTCATGTCCTTATCCTTCAGATTTTTTATTTTTAAATATATTTATTTAACCAAACTTTTAGGTTAACTATTCTGGATTATTATAGTAAAAAATTAATTTCTAACTTAATTAGAACTGTATTTACGGATTCCAGTAGTTTAGACTCGAGGAAAACATCTCCAGCACCCAGAAACATTCTGGGGAAGTGGGCTAGTGTGCGTCTGTGCAAGAGGTCTAGCTTAGACACTCGGAATCTTTTCCCAGTAACCGGAAAAGGTTCCGGGGATAAGGAATTTTTCCGGGTTTGAGAAAGTCGTCTTGTTACCCGGAAATCTCTCATCCCTGGAAGTGCTCAGCACCAATTGTTTTGGCTAATGGGGATATCACTGTATCACCTGTACAATAATACTTGTAATGAGTAAGTTCATGAACTCCACAAGCATATAAAAAATATAACTAATCATAAACAAAATATTCAGCCTGATATTCAATTCTTCAAGCTAATATTTTAGTTACACAATACAATATTCTTTTCTACCAATAACACAAATTTTCACTCACTGGGGTCAACTCCCATGTTCATGTAGTAGTTATCTGTGTTGCTCCATTTAAGTTTGAGCATCAAGTCATCAGTCACTTGAGTCTCAAACTGACTGCCAGACCTACAGCAGAAAAAAGAAAGATTAATTTAAAACATCATTGCCCAACTGATTTTCAGACAGAGTTGGAAAAACATTAAAAATCTCTAGGGTATATACTGGACTGTATTACAATAAACTCAAATACATACCCTTCAAAAATCATTCAGAATCTTTCTAGAAAAAAAATTAAAAATAAATTGTACAAGTAAGATATAACATATCCAATATTTAAACAAAATAAAATGACATTCCAATGACGATTAAGACTGATAAATAATTCATACACACAACCCATTTTACAATATGCACATGAAAATTTATAACTCCAAAACATGTGAACTACATTTCAGTATCTTTCATAGAATACTATAAGAAGCTGGGATTTCACAATGTGAACACCACAACATCAGATGGGACAGCCAGATAGATGGACAGGACAAACACACTATTACCCTACCCTGGCTTATACCAGTAATTTGAGACCACTAATCTCCTACCCTACCTCCACCTGACATTGAGTAAAGGTCAGGTGGAGGTCACCCTTTCTTGGGTGGGGGATTAGTGGGTCTCATGACTAGAAGATGTCTTGAATAAACACAAAACAAAGTATAAATGAGTGAAGTTGTACCCTTTCAACATTACATTACATAGCATTTTAAAATATGGAGTGAGAAAGCAGAAAAGTGTGTGTGATTAGAGAGATGGAGTGGAAAAGACTGGTGCACCAGATTGACTCGTGCAAAATAGGAAAGATTTGCTTTAAATTAAAACATTGTCCTTAATTGCGGGCGTCGCTTTAAATCAATATTCTTAAATTCAATTCCTTTAAATCAACGTTCTACTGTAGTAGTGACAATTGTAGTACACTACTAATCAAACGACTGTCATTGACGATGCAATATTTCTTATTTATTAATTAATACCACAAAATCACACCAAGGCACCACCCACACACCCCCATATTGTATGACAAATTTATGCATGGTTAAATGTGTGGTGGTGAATTAAAAGATCAGCTGTTGAGGAGCTTGGCAACACTGGTGCATGTTACCATTCCTTTCTACTGCATCCCTCTAATCACCCACACCTTTCTGCTTTCTCACTCCACATTTTAAAATCTCAAGTAACGTAATGTTGAAGGGATACATTGTGATAAGTGTAAGTATAAAAAAATACTATATTTTAGCTTTCACGTTTATTCAAGATATCTTCAGGTCCGAGACCCACTAATTCCCTGTCCAACAATGGGTGACCTAACACTGTATCAAAAGGTCAGTAACATGAGCAAAAAAAGACTTGCTCTCTTAATGATAGTCTACCAATCTCTATACTGTGTGAGTGAGAGAGCTAGGATATAAAGATCTATGGCCAGAGCTCTAGGTGTGAGCTCATGTCTAGAGAGCATAATGGTCTGCCAATCTCTCTTGTGTGAGAGAGGTGGGTGCCAGTGCTGGCAAATGCTAAGGTCAGTTGGACCTTCCTAACCCTATTTTGAGGAGGTTGTATATAAGGAATTGATTACATTATTATTATGATGTAGTAAGGTCTTTAGTTTTACAATATAATATTATAGTGTTATGAATACAATATTCCTCTATAACAAGTAGCATCCATGATCACACACACACTCACACACACAATTGAGAGTAAATGAGGCAGCAAGTCAGATCAGCAACCTGGGACTTGGTCACAATTTTTGTGATGCCATATGGCAGCAGGGTCTACCATTAAACAATACATTATGCTTCCAAAGTGACCGAGTCACAACACATGATATGGCCACAGTATCTATGTGATCAGCAGATGACATGCGGTTCTTGTTGACATTTACTGCATTGTAGGCAGGGGAAACTGCACTTTTCATGAATGAATCACTCTGATTCATTAGGCCTGAATGATTCAGTTATGACAAATTCTACCTACTACCTCAAGGAGATGCCAGATGTCTCCATCAGCCACAAATTTTCTCACTTCCTATGATATCAACAGTACATCATCCACTTTATAATTCATTCATAAACCATTCAAATCAACTTCTCTAAAACTTAGCAAAAAATATTATTTCTGAGATCTTTTTCAGGACTGTTCTAGAAACTGATCCCTGACAACCATGAGCTATTGAGCTAATGATACACGAGTACCTTCCAGTGTGCAGAACCTTCTCGGCTACAGTATGTGCTATTCTTCTCTTACTGTGTGAATTTGCAGTCACCTTTCATTGCAAACAAAAGAAATTTGGAAAAAGTAGTTTTCATGTGATCTCTTACTTGGCCATGGTCCTCTTCTTCAAGGATCGTGATATGGAGAAGATGTAGATCTGGCCATGAAGTGCACACTTAGCAGCTAACAAATCATCACGTAGCATACATACAGAGTCTAAAACAGAACCATTTCCATCTACTTCTGGAAGCAGAAACTCAGTACGTTCTAATCTGAAATAAAAATAAAAATTTTAGGACAGTTCTGTACCTCCAAAAATATTTATCAACCTGGCCAGGTACTAAACCTTCCCTCCTTTATTTAATTAGCTATCTATTATTTGAACCAATCCACCAAGCAGTGGTAGACAACAGCAGAATGACTGAAAATCAAGAATTCTTCATTTTGGAGCCAGGCAACACTTGAACTACTATATAGTCTTTTTATTAAATACAGGTATCCCTCGCTTAACAATGGGTTAAGTTCCTAGAAAATCATTCATTAAGTGAAATATTGTACATTTAACGACAGAAAAAAATTACAAAAATAAGGTTTGGTTCCCCAAAGACAAGAAACCCCAACAATATACACCCCGAGAGTTAAATCAGTAAAAAATAAAATAATAAAATAAAATAAAATAAACTTGCCTTATAAATGAAAAATAGTACCCATTTACTATAATTTACTACCATACACATTAAAAAACATAAATAAAATACTATTTAGATAAAAATATACAGCTAAAACCATCAAGGAAATGTTAAATGAAAGTTTAACACAACCGCCATTTGCATAACACAACAGTTTGGTCTCAATGTTCACCAAAAGCAACTCAGCCCAGCTGGGACACTGACTGATCCCCATCTCAGCATGCTACCTCTCACACACACGTTTGTTCCCTTAATGTTTTTTTACCTTACTTTTTTGCACATTATCTAATTATGAAGGAATGTGCATGCATGTAACTGGAAAAAAAAAGTTTATCTACTGGAAATTATGAGTTGAAAAATAACCATAACAGCTCTCCCACTCAACCTGCTAACTCGCTGACGCATGAAGAAATGTTAGTCCCTTATGTTTTGACATAATATATACAGCAGTACACTCACACACACACACACACACTGGTCCCTCGGTTAACAACACAATTCGTTCCAGACGGCCGTTCGTTACCCGAAACCATTGTTTCAATGGGATATTGGGTAATTGGTTCCAGCTCACTGAAAGGTATATACAAAGTAAAGCCGGAATATAATTTACATTGCTGGAATTGTTATTAGATAGTGATTAATTTGATTATAAACAAGCTAAAATTTGCATTAGACATACAAATTTTAGATCTAATTTAAGAATTTTATTAGGGAAAGCAAAAATTTTATCTTTTATGCAAAATATATGAAGTTTATATCCAAATTATTCCCTGTCTTGCAAGGATTTCAGCAATGCAAATTGTATTATCCTAACTTTAGTCTGAAATATCATATAAAATAAACACCTTAAAGCATAAAGAAAACGCCAATCTTTTGTTTGGGAACAGCAAGGAGGGAGGGAGCCAGCAAGCGTGGGAAGAGGGGGGAGCGGAGGTGAGGTGACAGTGTGTCTGGTCTTTGTTTGTTTACTTGAGATTGTTGTTTTTAGCTCATAAAATTCATAGAAATTACCCGGCCAGAATATAATTTACATTGCTGGAATTCTTATAAGATAGTGATTAATTTGAATATAAACAAGCTAAAATTTGCATTAGACATACAAATTTTAGATCTAATTTAAGAATTTTATTAGGGAGAGCAAAAATTTTATCTTTTGTGCAAAATATATGACATTTTTATATTCAAATTATTCCCTGTCTTGCAAGGATTTCAGCAATGCAAATTATATTATCCTAACTTTAGTCTGAGGTAGGGAGGGAGGGGTGACAGTGACATGTTTGACAGTTGGCGCCTGTGGTGTGAAGTATTTAATTGTCAATTTATGTCTTTTAGATTGAGTTTTTGTTTTTTGCTTATAAAATTTAATAGAAGTGACCGGGGTGAATTTAATTTGCATTGCTGGAATTCTTATAAGATAGTGATTAGTTTGAATGTAAACATAGAAGAGATCACTGAATTGGTTGAGTACCTCCTCAGCTTATCAGCTGATGTTCAAAACAAAATGTGATTTTCCTAAGGATTTCGTTAATTTAATTTTTTTCGTTAATCGAATTGAAGATTCTTATGGAAGGTAATTCGTTAACTGAGGGACCACTGTGTGTGTGTGTGTGTGTGTGTGTGTGTATATATATATAGTGCTGATAACCACAAGGAAAGAAGAAAACATGAAGTTCCCAAGCGCTTTCGTGTAATTCACATCTTCAGGGGTGAGTACAGACTAAGGAGAAGTACAAAACAAGGTATATATATACAGAGGAGGGTGAGATCAAGTCCACAATGGTCAGGTATTAGGTAATGACCCTACTCTATAACTTCTTGCTAGATTATGTTGAAATTCATGTGGCGTATAGGTAATTTACTCCTCTTGAACATGACATATAGATATTTCCGATTATCACTCTGTTTTGGGTGCATAAAATTTTTCCTAACTTACCATTTTTTCCTCCAAATATTTAAAGAGATAAATCAGCCAATAATAAACCAAGCCAATAAAGAAAACCTCTATGTTCTGCCATGCACAATATGGTATTCTATTACTTAGTTTTTGTTTTATTAGAATCAGCCCATAAATGGCCAGGCCTTAAGGATTTGAAGATTAGAAAAACTCATTTTGAGATACTGGCCGATAGACAAGGGTGAGGCGAGAGCAACGAACAGTCGAACAACCTCATTCTCGCTTCTTTTGTGGGTAACAGAGGTGTACAAGCAGCCTCGGACTCTCGTCCTACTGCTAGTTAGCTGAAAAAGGTGTCAGATACTGATTTTTACCAAATGATTGGTATTACTTTACACCAAAATATTATAAATACTTTTCTACAGCTTTTGCTATGTAAACAGAAAGGACCTCTAAATGAAGAGGGGTAGAACAATTATGCATAGCTACATAAATATTATGAATCATGCAATCAAAATAAGTCAGCAGATAAAGCATAGGCAACAGCTTTCCTCAGGAATTTTTCTGCATATTTTTTTAATTTTCCGATTTTCATCGTATTTTCATCTGGATGTTCTCTCTTCAGGGAGGGCAGTCAGGGCTCAACACAAGGGGTGGGGGAATGGCAGAATGAAAGAAACAGATTGAGGGGAGATGTGGGAGGGAGGGGAGGGGGGGTTATTATGAATACATCTTTGCCCATTTCTCCAAGATGGCCGCCCCAGCTGACTCCCGGGGCATGCCACTTGAATTTTCCCTAGGACCCAAATTCATATAAGTGAGGAAAGCTTTTATTAAATGAAAAAAAAAGGGGTTAATTGGTAAATTTGTGTAAGCGAATTTTCATATTTTCAGTGTTCATTAAACGAGGGATACCTGCATCTAATATTCATAAAATAATTTAAATCCAAACTTTATGTCCTGAAAATGATAATCCAGCAGTAGAAATTCCTTTCTATTATGACCGTTATTCATTGGAGCATTAAGAGAAAAATAACACTCACCTGTCATTAGTCTCAATCTTCTGCATGTCAATCTTCCATCCAAACAATCCTCCATCACAGCCAGCAATAAGCAAGTCATGAGTACATGAAAAGGTTAAGTTATAGACATCCCTCGCCACAGCTGGAATTGTCAGAAGATGCACTGGTGTTGTGTCATACCTGGGCAGGGCAGGAATGCCCACATCCCACAACTGTATCTGTCCATCCTCATGCCCACCTGTAGTGACAAAGTGCAATGTATTGTGAATTGTTGGTAAACTGGTGCACTTCTTTTGTCCACTAAGGACACTATTTTTTCTTTCTTCCTTTTTGTTGCTTCATAAGGCAAGTACAGTGATATCTCCATTATCCGAACACTTTATGCAGAGCACTTCCAGGAATGAGAGATTTCCGGGTAACGAGATGACTTTCAAAGCTAGAAAAAAATCCCTCATCCATGGAACTTTCCAGAATTTTCTGGGCAACGGAAAAATTTTCTCGTTACTTCTAGAAATTACCCATTACATCATCTCTCAAACCCAGAAAAATATCCCCCATCCCCTACAATTTTCCAAAACTTTCCGGGTACCGGAATATTTTTCTTGGAATTTACAGAAAATGCGCCTAATTTTTAACTCTCAAACCCGGAGAAAAAATAATAAATAAATAAATTTCCCCCATCTCTGGAATTTTCCGGGTACAGGTACTGGGAAAATTTTCTTGGAATTTTCCAGAAAATGTGCCCCTTGAAAAATCGTTCCTAAAGTTTGGGAACGGTTTTCAGAGAAAATTTCCGTTCCAGCTATCGGAGAGTTTCAGTTAAAAGGGATTCTGGCTAACGGAGACATTATTGTATAAAATATAATGGGTTGGCAAAGAAATTTCACTTAATGAGTGACCAATTAATGATTATTTAGTTGAATGATCTTTGCATTTTAGTGTAAGAAAGCTCAATTAAAAAATTTCTGTCTAATTTAACAAGCAAAATTTTGAAAGACTGTTCACATGTTTACCGGGACCCTCAACAAGGCACTCGCTAGTTACCAGTTGTTTTTTTCTTTCTACTTGTACAATCCCGGACAAAAGTCTTGTGCCAGGCAGTTTTGCCTAACTTAGTCATGTGGCAACATTGAGGACACACGCACGAATTCACATAACGTGTGCCAAAAACCCTGATTATGTGAACAATCCATTACAAAGCATCTCTAAATGCATATCCTCTGCTAACTACACAATTTATCAATGATAAATCGTAAACTGGTAAAGAGTATATTTTATATTGCACAGTACGAGGTATTCCTTTAAACATAACATTAGCAGTGATATTGGCCACTGACAGTCAGTAACTAAGATACAATGCCTCAATCTTTCATGTCCACCACACCCTATTTTTGAGTTTTAATAATTTTGTATAAAACATTTTTTTAGTTTAAGTAAATATGTAATACTTGTATCCATGTAAAATAACCATGTAGTATAAAGAAAAAGACATGAAATATTTGTGGTGAACTATTACTGTTTCATCTCATATCACATAAGTATGATGATAGGAATATGAAATATTGTCTAGGGCGAGAGATATTACAGGAAGTCTTTGTTTAACATCGTGGTTCCATTCCTGAAAACTGCGACGTTAACGGAATAAATTTTCCCCATAATAAATAGATAAAACACGGGAGTTACGTTCCCCAGCCTCCCTTTGCCCCATAAAATTAATTACATATACATAAATTCAGTGGAATGTTTATTGAAAATAGCATATGTTATACAGCTGCTCCTCAACTTATGACGGGGTTAGGACCCCAACCCAGGTCATAAGTCGAATTGGTCGTAAGTCGAAAATGCTTAAATAATACATAGAAAATCTAAAATGGGTGTCTCTTTTTCTTCTCAGCATCACAAAACCACTTTTAAGCTTGCCAGCCAGTTTAAAGTGAATTACAAATGAAAGTTTTGTCAGTACACAGCGCAATCACTAAAGCCGGGACTCGAAAATACGTAATTTGACAAAATTTTAGTACCACTGAGGCGATCGTATGTCCGGGTGGACGTAAGTCGAGTAGGTCGTAAGTCAAGGAGTAGCTGTACATCCAATAAGATAAATAAACTCAATCATTTTGTATTGTACTCATTAATGGGCAGAGGTGGAGCGAGTGTGTGGTGGGTAGTTGAGAGGAGAAGGGTGGCGAGTCACTGAGACTTGAAGGGTGGTTCCCCCTCCCGCTCTGACTGGGTGATGCGGCGTACAAAGTAGTCCGTGATGACGTTTTCCGAATCATGGGTACCTTACGAGTAGTGACGTTATAGCGAAACAACGTTGTCAGGGGCAACATTAAACGAGGACTTACTGTACTTATATGTTGCAAACATGTTTTTAATAAAAAGCAAAATTAAAAAAATAAAGGAAACACAGGAACACACATTGTGTCTACTAGACACCTAAATTATGTGAACAATCCATTCTAGAGCATGCTTATGTGGTCCTCCATTTTGAACTTCACCACTTATCAATAATAAGATTTCTCTTATGCGAGTGCCAGGAGGACAGATAATATTTATGTAAAGCATAATATTCGTAGTAAAGAGGTTCATATTGGAAAAAGATCGCCGAAAGGGAGTGGAGGTGGGTATATTATCCCTCTCCCATTGCTTTTAGTGATGCTATTAATGATGTCAGCCTCATAATATTATAGACGATAGTTTATTGTAATATGGAAATGATGATTTTAGGGACAGTTCATGCCATTCACAACCTTTAACTTATCTGAGACTATGGCATGGTCATACAGCAACCACTCAGTCATTCCAGCAACTACAACCATGGGAGACCAACTCCACGATATCTCCCACCGGGATAAGAGTCAGCAAGATAGCAAGGCAGGTGGGCGTCTCCAGATCGAAAGTGTGGTGTTGGTTACAATGGTTTAAAGAGTAAGGTAATTTAACAGATTTTCCCAGATCAGGATGACCTATATTGACCAGAGCAGCAGATGACACAAGGTTTGTGGCACACATCCATGGCCATCCAATGCAGTAGACATGACGGAGCCACTGCAGTTTGAGGTCTCCGCTAGGACAGTTAAGTGACGACTCCATGGAATTGGGGTCCACCACAGGGTCTCTGCTGTCAAGGAAAGGTTCCAAAAATGACACTGGGTTGGGAGACTACAGTTCCCTGAGCAGTATGTGGGGGAGGACCTGGACTTCTGGTCAAGAACTATTTTCTCACATGAAAAAACTTTCAACTCTACCAACCACGGCCGTCTTCACCTGTTACAACAGGCAGAAGCCATGTGACCGTAAACATGTAGGGCTGGATTAACCTCAGCAGTGTGGGTGAATTGGCAGAGATAAATGAGATTCACCACAGAGCAATATCTAGAAGCATTTTAAGAGGTGATAATGCTGCCAACAGTCTGAGTATACACTCTGCTCTACCAAGAACACATCATTTTCATGCAGGTAGTTTTGTAATTTTTCCTAAATACATTGTAATGTTATGAATCATTTTTATCATACAATTTATATTGTTATACAATAATATTTGTAATAATATGAACTCTATGACAATTGATTTCATCTCCTGTTTCAATTTATCTCATATCTGATACCCCATCCACACCGTCAGCAGTGAAGCAGTGGTCCATCAAACACAGAGACCACATCCAGCTGCTGGACTGGTTGAGTAGAGCCTGTGATTTGAACCCCATCGAGATTGTATGGACTAACATGGTTAATTTGTTGGAGCCACAGCAGGAGAGGACAAGGCAGCAATTACTGTAGCATACCCTGGCAGCGTCGGAGGCACTGAGAATGAGACAGTATATGTTGCTGGCATTTTTGCGGCTGGGACAGGGAGCCATTTGTTCTCGAGTCAGTAATTTCCTTTACCTGTACGTATTGTAAATAAGTGTGTGTGTAGACACACACACACACACACAAAACACATACAATTAAATAATACTGAAATTGGAAAATCCTCTCTCAAATAGTCAGAAACAAATTTATTAAAAATGTGACAGTCTACCCTCAAGTCTGTGCTCTATTAATAAAGTACTGCAATAGAGCACGGACTTGAGGGTAGACTCACATTTTTAATAAATTTGTTTCTGATTATTTGTGAGAGGATTTTCCAATTACAGTATTATTTATTTTTGTGTTTTGTGTGTGTCTACACACACACACACACACACACAACAATGATTATGGGAAAATACTCTCATGCATGTGGGAATGGGTTGGAGCATGATGCAATCTTTTGGAATGCCCTGAAAATTTATTCCCAGACCCAGAAATAGAAATGCGTTAAGATTTTCCAGAATTTGTCTCGGAATTTTTAGAAAATGCACCTGATTTTCAACCTCAGAATTTTTTTCCCAAACCCATATTCAGGGAATTTTCCGGAAAAAATTCAGAGCTATTGTAGAGTTCCGGGTTTGAGGGATTGCGGCTAATGGAGATATTACTACTGTATATCTCTTTATGCTGCATTTTTTATACCTGTCCTCCTGACACTCACATAAGATAACTCATATCATCGATACATGGTGTAGGTAGTTCAAAGAGAATATGCACACAGACACGCCATAGAATGGATTGTTCACACGATCAAGGTGTCTAGCAGATGGTGCCATGCGGTGTGTGTGTGGGAAGCATTTCATCTGTGCTTGCAAATACATTGGTTCTCGTCATTAATTTAGATTGAAATGATTTTTAACGGTATTCAGTGAAATAATTATTAATGGTATTCATTGGTTTGTTCCTGACAGTGCTGGCAACGAGGCAATCTAGGACATGAAATGCACCCTTTAAACCATAGAGCGACTCTTAAACTATGCGTGTCTCCGACGTTGCCACATAACCAGGTTAGGCAAAACTACCTGGCACAGGGCTTTTGTCCAGGACTGTACCTGTATTTACATTTGGTCCAATATTATTATTTATTTGCTGAAAGACTAAACAGAACTTTAATCCCCTAACTTGATTAGATATCCCACTCTTGATGTCAGAGAGAGAATAATAACAACCCACACCACACCCCCACACAAAACTAGGAAATATTAAATAAGTTACTTACAGAATAACCATGCGGCTTTCTTGGGATGGAACAAAAGAGCACAGACTACAGCTGCAGCTTTATTTGGCACAGTACGAAACATCTGGTAGCAGACGCCAACCTCCGGATGAATGAGTAAAACAGTGGAGCGAGCACCAGCAGCAGCTAAAATATTCATAGTTTCCAGGCCCATGCTGTCTAGAGGAAGAGTCGTCCATACCTGTGCATATAAGTTCTCTCCTGCTGTTGCCCTATTGGAAAAAATATATAATTTTATTGTACATTATATATAAACATTCCATTAACTGTACATAAAGTAAAATGAGAAATTAACACAAAAATCATTCTTAATGTTAAAATCATTTTTAAGCAATAAAAACACAAACAACCCATCTACTTTTTTTTTTAACCCTCAAACCCTGGCGAGTCATGCAATAATCCTAGGACACCCGCCGGGTGTAGTTATATGACTACAAGGCATTTTTCAAATGTCCTGAGTAAAAGTTTTCACACTAAGCTCACCAGATGTCACCTTGGTGACCCCTCAAGCCAATTACCGGTAGCTCAACCAATCACTGTACAGTATGTCTCATGTTATACAAATTGTCATGGAGGAAGGAGATACAACTTATGCTCCTTTTTCTCCCCTTGTGGGAGCCAGCAGCAAGCGTAGTGGAGATAGCGCAACAGTATTACAACTTTCTTCAGAGCCCGGACAATCCCGGGGAAAAATATAGAATAAAGAAAAGCATTTCTACTGAAGAAATTTATTACAGGTTGAGTAGGATTGTAAATGTTATTGGTGATGGGAGTGGGAACCAAAAGATGAAGATATACAGTAAGTAACTCCTCAGAGGAGGAGAAGGAGGAGGGGAGGAATATTTGCAGCGCCGCTCTACACCAGATGACACACTAACACAAACAATGGCTATGCCCCAGGAAAGTGGCTCTGCTAGTTCCTAAATTAGTGAGCTTGATTCACCACAGGTGACAACTATACACTAACACAATTCAAATTTTGCTTCTGTTTAGTGATGAGAGAGATTTGGTGCCAAACAATCCCGACTTTGATCCATCGACACCAGGCCTGTGTCAGAATTATTGAGTTTCAGAAGACAGTGTGCTGTGTTTGGTGTGTGTGTTATACAGTAATACCCCGCTTAACGCGGTTTCGCTTAGCGCGATTTCACGTATACGGGGTGCCTCGCCAGAGCCGAACTTTCACTTAACACGGGTTTTTTCCACGTATACGCGCAGAGTGTCCGGCTCGAGACGCTATTTTTAGATTCGCCCCACCCACCTGCCTGCCTGCCTGCCTGTTTTAGCTCATAAAATTCATACAAATTACCCGGCCAGAATATAATTTACATTGCTGGAATTCTTACAATATGATGATCATTTTGAATATAAACATCATAGATTTTGCATTAGACATACAAATTTTAGATATAATGTTTACTCTGAGTAAATATGTTATTTTTTGTGCAAAATATATGACACTTGTATTCAAAATATTCCTGGTCGTACAAGGAATCCAGCAATGTCAATTATATTATCCTAACTTTAGTTGGAGGTATTATTTATTACTAAAAAGGTAAATATTCTGGTTTTTCCACACATCTGGTAGGGAGGGAGGTACCGACCGACCATCTGTTACGGTGTGAAGAATATATTTTTTTTTTTATTAACTGAAGATATTTGTTTTAGCTCATAAAATTCATACAAATTACCCGGTCAGAATATAATTTACATTGCTGGAATTCTTACAATTTGATGATCATTTTGAATATAAACATCATAGATTTTGCATTAGACATACAAATTTTAGATATGTTTACTCTGAGTAAATATGTTATCTTTTGTGCAAAATATATGACATTTATATTCAAAATATTCCTGGTCTTACAAGGAATCCAGCAATGTCAATTATATTATCCTAACTTTAATCTGAGGTATTATTTAATACTAAATGTGAAAATTTAGTTTTTTCACCCAACATCTCTTGAAGGGAGGATTGGTGGGGGGGACGGACCGACCACCTGGCGGTTGGAAGAGGGGGGAGGCAAGGTGGGGTACTTTGATTGACAGATAGTGTCGTGAAGAATATTTTTTTTTTATTAACTGAAGATATTTGTTTTAGCTCATAAAATTCATACAAATTACCCGGCCAGAATATAATTTACATTGCTGGAATTCTTACAATTTGATGATCATTTTGAATATAAACATCATAGATTTTGCATTAGACATACAAATTTTAGATATTATGTTTACTCTGAGTAAATATGTTATCTCTTGTGCAAAATATATGACATTTATATTCAAAATATTCCTGGTCTTACAAGGAATCCAGCAATGTCAATTATATTATCCTAACTTTAGTTTGAGGTACTATTTATTAAAATTTAGTGGTTTTCCCCCAAAAATTTCTCAGAGAGGGAAGAGCCAGGAGTGTAGTGTGAGAAGAGGGGGAGGGAGTTGAGTCCATTATTTGAATGGACATTAAATTGGCGACTGTATTTCTCTATTTCTCTTAAGTATTAATTGTGTGCATGTACCATCATAAAATTAAGATGTTATTTTTACTAGAACATAGGTATTGTGTCGGAAAAAGTAGAGTTTGGGGGTCCGGCCAGTCTCTAATGGAATTAATCCCATATGTTCTGTTGTTCACTTAATGCGGCTTTCACTTAACACGGTACCCTGTGGGTTCAATTGACCGCGTTAAGCGGGGTACTACTGTATATGTCTCCATGTCTGATGTGTGTTGCGCAGTATGCATATGACCTCACCTTTGTCGCACACCCTGAACGTGACCTACAGCAGATCCTGTAGGGTAAGATGCATTTGCACACTTCAGACTTAAGGCGAATGTACGTAAGATTCAGATTCTCTTTCAGCCTGCCCCTGGTTCAGTGACACCTCTGCCATCCATCCAGGCTAACGGTATTACCCTCACTAACGTTACCCACTTTCAGTATCTCGGTTCCCGCCTGTCCACCACAGCAGACATCAATGAAGAGATTCAACATGTAATCAGTGTGCATCTGAAGCCTTTGGCAAACTCTGTACCTGTGTCTTCAACTGTAGGGAGCTGAAATTGTCTACAAAGTTGCACATACATCCAGCAGTGGTCCTCCCCACCCTGCAATATGGCAGCAATACATGGGCCACATACAGGAAACACCTCAAGGCACTTAAAAACATTCACCAATGTAGTCTACGTTCCATCCTACGAGTTTGCTGGGTAGACAAGAGAACAAATGCCAGTATTCTCACCGACACCAACTGTAGGAGCATCAAGGCTACCATTTTATCCATGAACAACTACGTCTGACTGGCCATGTTACCTGCATAGATTATAGTAGACCGAACGCTGGCAGGCAACTGAAAGGGTATAAGGATAGTCTTAAGACAAAACAGAAAAAAGTGCCAAATCGGCCCCCTAACCTGGGAGACAATTACTTCACACCGTAACGCTTGGAGGAGCACCACACAAGAAGGTGTCAATACTTTTGAGTTAGCCCGACTGCATACCGAGGCAGATAAGAGCCAACGCCGGAGACGCTGCCGCCACAACTTCTGCACTGGATGTACCCCTCCACACATGCCATATCTGTGGACGACCCTGCCAATCCTGATCAGCTTCTCCAGTTACCTCAGAGCTCACGAATGAAGGTGACATCCTTAATAACTCATATCATTGTATCACATCTGGATGATCGTCATACTCGCTTCCAGGTGACTGCAAAGAAGAAAAAGAAAAAAAGACTTGAAAAAGTAGAAGACTTGAAAAAGTAGAAGACTTGAAAAAGTAGAAGACTTGAAAAAGTAGAAGACTTGAAGAAGTAAAAGACTTGAAAAAGTAAGAAAACTTGAAAAAGAAGACTTGAAAAAGTAGAAGACTTCAAGAAGACGACGACAACTTGAACAAGAAGATGATGACTTGAATAAGAAGATGACGACTTAAAGAAGAAGAAACATGCAAGGTCTAAGTGCAAAGAAATGTGGCAACAATGAAGAGAAGATTGACAAGGTGGCAGACATGGGCCCTTGATGATCTATGTGAAGCAAATACACTGCAGGAGAGACTAAAATTCATAGGAGATGGAAAGCAAAACACTGAGGATGTTGCCAGAAAATTTAGTAACAAGATGCGTGAGGTAAAAGTGTTCTCGGCGGTAAGATCTCTCACAGATGAATCTTCCGGTGAAGTTTTGCCAATAAAGAGAGAGACATTACAACAACTGAAGGAAAAATACCCCCCTGCAAGTGCAGAGTAAGGCATCAGGTTCCAGGGTGACTATATCCCTCCAAACAGGAAGGACGATGTGGACTGGGTGACTTCTCTTCCACCCCAATGCCTTCTCTTCTCCCATCTCCTCCACCCCCATTCTAATTCCCACCATCATCACCATCCAGGAGCCTTCTACATACACACCTCAAAGTAAGTGTACTTTTCTAAATTTTTTGTTGAATTTAGGCAATTTTCGGTGAGCTGGAACCAATTACCCAAAAACCCATTGAAACAATGGTTTCGGTTAACGAGCAACCTTCTAGAACGGATTGTGCCCGTTAACCGAGGGACCACTGTATTGTTTATTACTGAGTATGTATTAGATTGAATTAATGTTTATATATGTGAAATGAACAATGCAATTCATTAATAATACGTAGAATATTAAAACGATGGTTCTACATAAGAAACTGAAGAAAATAAGACCATGGTTGTAGCTGTAGTGAACTTAATATAAAAAATTTAATACCTGTACTGTATATGTTTTAAGTAATGCTATTTAATGTTAATAAATGGAACACTAAGAGTAGCTAACCACTAATGGTAAAGAAATAAGGCGAAACGATTGGGAACGCCAAAGTATGAACAGTAAGTACACACGTGTGAAAACATATCGTTATTTCTCTACATATGAATATGAAAGCAACACTTATTTACTGTTCATATATGTTTTAAATAATATTTACGAATGTAAAACTAAAATTCTATTCACCAATGGTGGTAAAGTCTAAAACATAAGGACAGCCAATGAACATTGTGCGACTTTTTAGTCAGATGACAAAGTCATCAGGTTCATCTCTGGCTGAAGATGTAGCTTTCCATAAAGCTGTTGCTGAAACTGTTACTGAACCTGAAGTGGAAGCAGCTTATGATGCTGAATTTGATGGTGTAGCTGAAGTTGATGGTTTAGGCCTTCAAATAATAAAGCTGTCGAAAGAACCTTGCACAGCTGCTTTCTTTTCTCATTATACATCTTTATGTAGAAGTCACTTGCATTTATTTAAATTTTAATGCTTTGTTCTGTTAATAGATCCACTTCAGAAAATATGTTCATTGCTTGCTACATATAATATCCAGAGGCCTCTCACCTTTTTCATATCTAGTTTCTCAGCTAAGCTTAGACAGTTTCTATTAACTTTTGAAACAACACTACCATCACTTGCTCTCTTGCTCGTGTTGAATAGGGATGCAAAAATGCTGTAAGAAACCTGAGAAAGTTTTTCTTCAGTTCCTGTTCCAGATGCGTGAAAGCAAAAGGCCCACCAGGCTCCAACTGTTGTTTATCACACATTAGCAAGGCACTCTTCTTTTTTTTTACATTAATATTTTTTTATACAGTAGTACCCCAATTTGCGGTCAATTGAACCCACAGGGTACCGCAGAAAGTGAAAACCACGTAAAGTGAACAACAGAAGATATGGGATTAATTCCAATTGAGACTGGCCCGACCCCCAAACTCCACTTTTTCCGACACAATACCTATGTTGTAGTAAAAATAACATCTAAATTTTATGATGGTATGCTCACACAATTAATATTTAAGAGAAATACAGTCGCCAGGTTAATGTCCATTTAAATAATGAACTCAAATCCCCACCCCCCCCTCTTCCCAGCTCACTAGCTCCTACCTCTCTGAGAAGTGTTTGGGTGAAACTACTAGATTTTAACGTTTAGTAATAAATAATACCTCAGACTAAAGTTAGGATAATATAATTGACATTTCTGGATTCCTTGCAGGTCAGGGAATATTTTGAATGTAAACTTCATATATTTTGCACAAAAGATAAAATATTTGCTTTGTGTAAACCAAATTATTACAATAGATCTAAAATTTGTATGTCTAATGTAAAATCCATGTTGTTTATATTCAAAATGATCATCATATTGTAAGAATTCCAGCAATGTAAATTATATTCTGGCCGAGTAATTTGTATGAATTTTATGAGCTAAAACAAATATCTTCAGATAATAAAAAAAAAATATTCTTCACGACACTATCTGTCAATCAAAGTACCCCACCTTGCCTCCCCCCCTCTTCCAACCGCGCGGTCAGTCCCAACCCTCCCCCCCACCTCCCACCAATCCTCCCTTCAAGAGAAGAGTGGGTGAAAAAAATAAATTTTAACATTTTGTATTAAATAATACCTCAGATTAAAGTTAGGATAATATAATTGACATTGCTGGATTCCTTGTAAGACCAGGAATATTTTGAATATAAATGTCATATATTTTGCACAAAAGATAACATATTTACTAGAGAAAACATTTTATCTAAAATTTGTATGTCTAATGCAAAATATATGATGTTTATATTCAAAATGATCATCAAATTATAAGAATTCCAGCAATGTAAATTATATTCTGACCGGGTAATTTGTATGAATTTTATGAGCTAAAACAAATATCTTCAGTTAATAAAAAAAAAAAATATTCTTCACGGGGTAACAGATGGTCGGTCGGTCCCTCCCTCCCCCCCACCCCCCGTCCCAAGGAGATGTGTGGGAAAACCACTAAATTTTAATAAATAATACCTCAAACTAAAGTTAGGATAATATAATTGACATTGCTGGATTCCTTGTAAGACCAGGAATATTTTGAATATAAATGTCATATATTTTGCACAAAAGATAACATATTTACTAGATAAAACATTTTATCTATAATTTGTATGTCTAATGCAAAATATATGATGTTTATATTCAAAATGATAACCAAATTATAAGAATTCCAGCAATGTAAATTATATTCTGGCCGGGTAATTTGTATGAATTTTATGAGCTAAAACAGGCAGTAAGGCAGGGTGGCGTGTGGGGCAAATCTAAAAATAGCGTCTCGAGCCGGACACTCACCGCGTATATGTGGAAAAAATCCGTGTTAAGTGAAAGTTCAGCTCTGGCGAGGCACCCCGTATATGATAAAACGCGTAAAGTGAAACCGCGTTAGGCGGGGTAATACTGTATTTACATTTTTAGTAATAAATAATAACCCAGACTAAAGTTAGGATAATATAATTGACATTTCTAGATTCCTTGCAGGTCAGAAAATATTTTTAATGTAAACTTCATATATTTTACACAAACGATAAAATATTTGCTTTGTGTAAGCCAAATTATTACATTATAGTAGATCTAAAATTTGTACGTCTAATGCAAAATCCATGATGTTTATATTCAAAATGATCATCATATTGTAAGAATTCCAGCAATGTAAATTATATTCTGGCCGAGTAATTTGTATGAATTTTATGAGCTAAAAAAAAAAAAAAATTTTTACTTCACCCTAAATTAACTAGGGTTTTAAATTAGAAAAGTTGTTGGTCGAACCGTTGTTATCGGAGGCTTTTCTGTACAGGGTATACTATTTTCAATAGAAATGTCGATGATATTCTCTATATGTAATGTTTTTCATGGGGTAAAGGGAGGCTCGGGAACGTAACTTTCCATATTTTATCTACGTATTTCTTATGGGGAAAATTTATCCGCTTAATGTTGTTTTGTATAACAGCACCTTTTCAGGAACTTAACCCCGACGTTAAGCGAGAACTTAATGTATTTATATTTTCTGTACAAACCCATAAGATTTTAAGATATTTAAATACAAATCTATAAACTACATACAGGTACTCCTCGACTTACGACCACCTGGACATACGACCGCCCCAATCGTACCAAAAAATTTTCAAATTACGTAATTTCGAGTCCCAACATTAGTGATCGCGCTGTGTACTGACAAAATTTTCGTTTGTAATTTCCTTTAAAATGGCTGGCCAGTTTAAAAGTGAGAGTTTGGTGGAGCTGAAAAGGAAGAGAGACACCCATTTTAGATTTTCTATGTATTATTTTTGCATTTTCGACTTACAACCTGGATTTGGGTCCCTAACCCCGTCGTAAGTCGGGGAGGAGCTGTACAGTGGTCCCTCGATTAACGAACACAATTGGTTTCACAGAGTCGGTTGTTTACCGAAAATTTTGTTAACTGAATCTATTATTTCAATGGGATATTGGGTAATTGGTTCCAACTCACAGAAAAAGTATACATACAAAGTACTGTATACCGGTAATAGAATTAACAAAACATTTAATATCAATTAAATACAGTACTGTACTGTACAGTATACTGTATAATAATAATAAAAATACAAACAATAGAATACTGTATTTTAACTTACTTCAAGGTGTGTATGTCGAATTCCCGGCGGCTTTGTTTACATATCAAACAGCTGATTGTAAAGGCAGTCGATGATATGCCATATTCTTTACAGAGTGCATTGGTTCTAATGCCTTCTTCATGTTTCATAATAATTTCTGCACTGTATATTATCAATATATTAACTAAATTTCAGAATGACCAATAATTTTAATGTAAAAATGCAAAAATATTCAACAGACCAACAAACTCAATGTTCACTCCACTGTAAACAAAGTTAAACTGAGAAGCGTTGGCGGGTGATTCGATCAGCTGAAGAGCACAGAAAAACTGTTCCCTGTACTGTACAATATATATTATCAATATGTTAACTAAATTTCAGAATGACCAATAATTTTAATATAAATAATGCAAAAATATTCAAGAGCACAACTTTCTTGATATTTACTCCACGGGAAACAAATGTAAACATAGAAACAATTACCGTACTGTATTGGCGGACTAGCCGATCAGCTGATGCACAAAACAAAGAGTGTTTCTCATAAGGATGTTGGTAATCGAGGTTTTGTTCGTTAATGGAACTAAAAATCCTTATGGGAGCTAATTCGTTAACCAAAATTTTGTTAATTGAACCGTTCGTTAATCAAGGGACCACTATATTGGCAACTGGAGCATTTTGTTAATCATAAACATGTAGTGTACAGCTGGACTGGGCTTATGCAAGGTAAAACAAACAAATAATTCCTCTTCTGCAATAATACCAAAGGAACATAACAAATTACTTACCAATGATGTTACAAGGAGCTTTACAAGCTTTAGAAAAGTGTCCAGCCATCTTTGCACCAGATTTTAAACAACCATCCTTAGTTAAAGAGGCAGCCAATCGTGCCACTTCTTAATAACTACACCACTTCCTACCCCAGCTAGCCTCGTGTGAAGGCTCCTTAACCCCCCTCAATACAGGGATGACACTTTCAATATTTTATTCGACTAATTCCTGACGATTTTATTCAGCTCAGAGACGACCCTGTACACAATGGGTTAACTTATAATACTGAAATATAACATAGGTATTTGATGAAGAAAGTATTCAAGTGTATTTGTATTTCCATTTTCACACAACCTATAGCGTATACAAATTTGTAAGTTAAATCTCACTTACATTTTTGTGCTACGATTATACTTGAGCACCACTTCACCATCATCCACGTTGATGAAACACACAGATGAGCCACCACATGTTGCCACCACATTGGTCATGGAGTGAGCCTTCTCTGGGTTTGGTTCAAACGAACACTGCCATATCTAGGGATTGTAAAGACCCATAATATTAAAACATACAGAGATAATAGGTACACATACACAATATAAACTAATTCTCAGATAGTGTGAATGGTACCATATGTAAAATATTATCCAACACTACAATATATAGAACTGCACTACAATTCAAAATTTTTTTTTAACATTTTGGTGGGCCTGCAAGCATCAGTGTGTCCTAAGGATTTACAGTGCACAGATGCTACCTGCTTCTTCATGATAATCACTCATATTTCTGTGGAGTTAGATTCAACTTTGTTTGTAAAATAGTATTGTAGAGCAATCATTGTGAAGAAATACACATTTAAAAAATGAAATATAATGGAAAATAATGTCAGAAACTAAAAAAGAAATACAAACATTTATGCTTCAATTGTTGTCCTCTGAGCACGCTCTACCCACCTTGAGTGGTGGCAGCATGTGCCCAGTGGGGCCCCTTAAAAGTTAATATATTCTTTTCAGCTTACTACATCCTTCCTCATGGCCTGCTATTTGCCAATTGACTTATGACATGGAGAATCTTAGTCCCGTGCGAGACCTTCAATTTGGATTTTTCAGAAGCTGTCATTATGGCTTTGTTCCCAATCAACATATGCCAGACTTAAGGTTTGGATAATAAACCTCCAAAGAGGCTAATGGAAGTCATTAATGTAGTTTCTACAATAGCTGTGTCAAAGTCAAATGTGAGCTAAGTATAAATGCAATGCATAATCATGAACTATCTGAGAGTATCTCTGAGGGTGGTAACTCTGTCTTCCTTCATGTTCATTAAATGTGTGGGACAACCATTGAAGCTATTCAACCCTAGACCATACATATAAACCTGGGTACTGCAACACTGTGAAGCTGATGACCAGAAGGCAAAGGCTGTTCATACTAAGGAAGATGATGACAGTGAGGCTGCAACTTTGAATTGACAGGCTCTGCACCGTATCTCCTGTGATATTTTCATAATTCTAGCCCTGCCAGTTGAAAGTCTCATCAAACTCAGGTTACCTAATTTGGGGACTATTTTTCATATCTGAGCAGACAAACAAACTAAATGCGAGACCAATAATCCTGTTACCCTGTGTAGAGGAACAATTACTTAGACAAGACCAATGACAGTCCTCCCTTACCTGTGTCTGTACATCAGCTGGGTCATTGTTCTTGGAGTGTGTCCGCAGAAAGTACTGTGGATGAAAATCCGAAGGGTCGTCAACTTTCTCAACTGGGCGTTCACCGAACCGATAACTGGCGTCAAATTTGTATTCAATTTTCCGAAGTGGCACTCCCTGTTGATATTGAAGACATAAAAAGCAGATCCTGTAATTAAAGATATACTGTACAGAGTACAGTAGAAATTTGAAGTCTCACCCACATGGGTCTATCACAGTTAGGACAAAATTGAAAAAGGTAAATAATTGAAAATGCCATTAAATTGCAACTGTGCCAATTAGTGCATTCTACCTATCCTAGTTGGCCTGTGGCACATTAAACACAAAGTACATGAACTTAAGTAACAATTAATACTATACAGGTATCCCCAATATACAAAGGGGTTATATTCCTGGATTTAAATTTATTGAATGAAAAACAGTGCATGGTAGAAACCAGAAACCATGTATTAGTGGGAGTTAAGTTCCTGGTTGGAAAACTTTTGGTCATTTGAGAGATGCCAAAACTGATCATCATCCAGACAGCTGGAAACTTAATTTTAACCCACCCAGTGTGATTTCTGCTCACCAGTAGCATGTGCACAAGTGGATTTTTACACCTCTGATTCTAGAATGAATTAATATACCTCCTACTGTACTTTAAGACCCTCTAAGTTGGTTTTCCATAAGTTGGAAACCTCAGTAAGTTAGATGAGCTTTGACTTGGAAGGGAGGAGGGGTCGTGTAGGACAGTAGTTGGGCGAGACATCAGTTCCCGCATGTTTGTTGCCGTAACCCCCACTCCACTGCAAGCACTGTGTTTTGTTCATATTAATTACTTCCCTAGTGTATTGTTATATATTCTAAAGCAAGTAAAGGCAAACCAACACCACTGAGGACCACTGGGAGAAAAGGAATGGTGCTCAGAACTCTACCATTTGAAGAAAAACTGAAGATACATGACAGAATCGATGCTGGGGACTCCTTGATATTATCTGTAAGGAGTTTGGGATGAAGCAGAGTACTTTTTGCAACATCAGCCAGATTTAAGTGTATATTAAATATAAGTGTAACTAAACATTAACGGCCATATTATTAAACAACATCTTCCCTTGAAGAATATCTTCATGTCGAAAGCCGTATTTTTAAATGCGAAGAACCTTTTAGTGCAGCGCACGAAAGAGTGTGGTGGCATGAAAACGAACTAATTGCACCTAACTTTGAAGAGTTAGCTATGAGCTGCTTTTCGTCACCCTCCTCATAATTATTTTGTTAGTTTTATTAAATATTTATTGTCAACACGATTAATGTACAAAGAAACACGTATTGGTAATTTTACAAATGTATTTTTTTTTACATTATTGGTTTTACGGCCCATATTATGACAGTGCAAAAGCTGTGTTCCCTGTCATATTACGACTTTCGTAAAAGATGTGCTGCCTGTCAATTTGTTATTGCCAAAGGCAAGCTGCTGGAGTCATCCCATCTTACTAATGCTAGCACTAATCTGGTAAGCACATTTACAGTAATTTATTAAACTTTTTAGCAGTTTTATAAGTGAGTTTCTGTCAGGAAAATATAAACTAGTGACGTTCTTGCCTAGAAATATTCCAATGGATAGAGGCAAATTTCACTGGGAGAAAATCTTCTCAAAACTTTATGTTGCATATATTAATAAAGTAAGTCCATTTAAGTTACTTAATGCAACTTTTTAGCAGTTTTATAAGTGAGTTTCTTTCTGGAAAATATAAACAGGGGAGATTTATGCCTAAAAATATCAAAATGGGAAGAGGCAAATTTCACTGGGAGGGCATTATCACAAGGATGGTAATATTACATACAAAAACACCTTTGATACAGTGGATCATGATATAATATGTGAAATACTGCAGGCTCTAATTTTTCATCACCAATTACATTATTTCGTGGGCCGTGATTTCGTGCGAAGCCCAACAGGGGGAGTGTTATCGCCACCCACAACGCCGGTCACATGTTAGGTGAAGAAACTGTCTACAACTCAGAATAGCTTACTAAGCAAGATGGAGCTGGTAGCAGCTGTGTGACTGCCTGAGGGACAGTCTATCGCCTTCTACTGTAAAGGCAACATCTTGATTTTCGTCAGCCAACATCTTCCTGTAGGACACTATATATGTTCTCGTTGGTCTAACCCTAGACCCCAAAACGTGAGTGTGATTGTGAACTGTTGAATCCTCTGAGAACTCTAAATAACTTTAATAAGTGTAATTATGCACTGTATATTGATCGTATTATTCAAACTGTGTCCTGATGTACCAGCAGTTGTTATATGTTAATTGTATTCAACAGGTTTTTGACCGAATTATACTCATCGCATCAACGACAAGGGTCTTATTGTCCTGCACAAACCAAAATCGCTCCTATGAGCGATTACAGGTACAGTATTGGCCAATTTCCAGCCAATACTGCAGATACTTTAAGTTTATTATTTTTATCTTTGTCTCTTACAGTCCAAAACTATCCATTTCTATTGTTACACCTATGGTAGATCTTACTGCGAGTGAACTGTTCTGGAATGCAACTAGCAGTTGTATTTTCTCTCTAACATATACAGTATTAAAATATTTTAGGTCATTAAACACATTCTATCTTTGTTCAGTGTACAATATATCTCCACTCATTGGAACAGTGTATATTTCATGTTAGGAGAGCATATTTGAACAAAAACTACCACTGAAACTACTGCCTTGATGCCCACAACCTCCATGATTGGGAAGCTCTCTAGTGATAATTTTCCATGCAGCACTATTTCCGAGATGATTCCTCATATCAATTTAGTTCAAAGGTTCACAACTAAAGCATCAGCAGATGCTCAGTTTTCTGGATTTGGCAATATCAAGGCATTATTGGAGAACAGATTTCATAGATGTCTTGATGACAACAATCCAATACTGGTAACATATCTTGATCCAAGATAAAAGGAAACCCTGCATCAAACTGAAGGTGATAAAACATCTAAAATATATGAAGTTAACTACAGAGAGTGATGGTCAGCTGTCTTTAGAAAATAAAGGAAGCTATACAAGAGGAAAACTGTGAGCGTACCAGTGAGCATTCCAGTGAAACTGAAGTGCAGATCCTAGAGTCTTGTGCAAATTGATGACTTTAGTGACTTTGATTTTGATAAATGCTTAGAGATAGAGGGTGATAGTGATCTATAGAACCATATTTAATTCCAAGGAGTTCTTCTAAGAATAAAAAACATTGTGTCACACCTTCAACTGTCAGAGCTGAAATGAGATACCAGACATTACAATTGCAAGCACGTGATGGAAATCCTTTAGATTGGTGGAAAACTAATAAGCTCATACAGTACTTGCAACAGTAAGTCTCATTGCAAACAAGTGTATCTTTCTTCTCCACCTTCATCAGTGGAAAGTGAAAAATTATTCAGCATTGGTGGTAATGTATACACTCCAAGTCGAAGTCATCTAATACTGACATTGGAGAAACACCCATGTTTTTAAACAATAATTTGAGAATTTTTAACTTTGATTACAGAATACAATTATATACTGTACTGTACTGTACTCACTCTGCCACCAGCCTTCACCCTCTTGGCAGCTGGTCCACCAGTCCTGGATTTTGATTTCTCAGACATGATGTCTGAAGTTGATTTATTCTGTTGAAAAATATTGTGTTAACAAAACAGAAATGAAAGCTTAATCCTGAAATCCCATTATATAACCAAAACTGGATCATATGATTTGTGTAATACCAAGACAAGTCTAGAGAATGATACCCAGGGAATCCATAGACAATACAGTACAGTAGCTCTTGTGACATTCACGCCCTTTAAAAAGGAATATAAATTTATATGGACATAAACTGTGCATCAAGTTTAACAGGTTACAATACAGGCAGTCCCCAACTTTTGAAATGGTTCCTTTCCTGATAAAACCTTCGTTAACCGGATCACATTTTCCCTAAAATCGTAAAATCGCTAAGTCTTAAAAAAATGCTACAAAACATATTTGTAATGAAATTTTTTGGTGTACTGAACATAATTATTTTTAGCCAATTATTGTAACTTACTAAGTTAATATTCCACTCACTGAGAAACAGCAGCAGCAACTTGTATTGAATGATAATAATTTGAGGCATTGCCTGGAGAAACTAGCACAATCACCACCCAGGGCACAATCATGTTTATCCTGCAAATGGTTCTTCAAACACCCTATTTTCATGCGGTGATGGATAAAATGCAAAAACGCCATTGACTATATGGTTGAATGTCCATAGACAAAAACCCAACTCTGGTCCACATCTCATCGCATCAAATGTTAGGGGAAGTTAACAGTATCGTTTCAAAAAATTATTTGCATAATTTACAAACATTCAGCTTCATTTAAAACAAACTGCAACATTCTAGCTAGAATACCTTCTGTGTTATCAAATTCCGAATGTTGCAAACTTTGAATGCATTTCCTGACAAAAATTGAGAATGGTGCTTGTGCTAGTTTCTCCATGCAACGCCTCATTTATTCTTTAAAAAAAATTTTAATTATAATTAATCCTGTAGTTGAATCTGGAATTTTTGTAATATTATTTTCTTGTTACACACAAATATAGTAGTGGCAGCAGCAGCATCCTCTCCTTATACATGTGCTGAGAAAGTTATTTTTTATTACTGCACATTATGCTGAGCAGTGAATGTTATTATTATTACATTGCAATATATTGTGCAGTAAATGTTATAATTATTATTAAATTACATAGCAAATATTATTATTATTATTATTATTATTATTATTAGTAGTAGTAGTAGTAGTAGTAGTAGTAGTAGTAGTAGCAGTTGTAGTAGTAGTAGTATCTGTAGTAGTACAGGTGTATTATGGTACTGTGATCCCTCGGTTAACGAACGCCTCGGTGAACGAAATTTCAGTTCACGAATTACCCTCCATAAGAATATTCAATTCGGTTAACGAATTCCTTACAAATTTTTCCCAACATGCTTTCGCCTGCTCACCAGCTGTAGTATTAGTCCGCCAATACAGTAATCAGTTTTAGGGTTTAAATTCGTTAACATTTGAGTAAATATCAAGAAGGTTGTACTATTCAATAATTTTCCAAGTCTTATATTAAAGTTTTTAGTCATTTTAACAATTGTTTAACATAATTGAAGTACAGGGAACTAGTTTTCGGTGAGCTGAAACCAATTACCCAAAATCCCTTTGAAACAATGGTTTCGGTTAACGAACGACTGTATAATAATAAATAAAAAACAATAGAATACTATGTTTAACTTACTTTGAGGTGTGTATGTCGTATTCCCGGCAGCTTTGTTTACATATCAAACGGCTGATTGTAAAGGCAGTCGATGATGACATGCCATATTCTTTACAGAGTGCATTGGTTCTAATGCCTTCTTCATGTTTCATAATAATTTCTGCACTGTATATTATCAATATGTGAACTAAATTTCAGAATGACCAATAATTTTTATGTAAAAATGCAAAAATATTCAAGAGACCAACAAATTGGATGTTCACTCCACTGTAAACAAAGTTAAACTGAGAAGCATTGGTGGGTGATTCTATCAGCTGATTAGCACACAAAAACTGTTCCCTGTACTGTATATATTTTCAATGTTAACTAAATTAGAATGACCAATAATTTTAATATAAAAAATGCAAAAATATTCAAGAGCGCAACTTTCGTGATATTTACTCCACTGGAAACGAATGTAAACATAGAACCAATTACTGTATTGGCATACTAGCCAATCAGCTGATGCGCACAGCAAAGCATGTTTCTCGTAAGGCTTTCGTTAATCAAAGTTTTGTTGTTAATGGAATTGAAAATCCTTATGGGAGCTAATTCGTCAATCGAAATTTCGTTAATTGGACCGTTCGTTAATCGAAGGACCATTGTATTTCCTTTATTTGTTACATTACAGTACTGAAAAGATTTTCCCACAATTTTTACAGTTTCATTACATGAATCAGTGGTAACTTACTCAGCCATCACAAGGCCACAGCTGCCGAGCAATGTGCGTTATGTATTGAAGATTATCCGGGTGTGTATGGGACTCACTTTCGATGGAGAGAAATAAATTACAGGTAGTCCCTGACTTACGACTGCCTCAACTTACGTCCATCGGAACTTACGACCTGTTCTGACCTTACGACCGTCGGGACATATGACTGCGGCAGCCGTGACCAAAAATATCTTCAAATGACGCGCGCATTTTCTATACCGAAACGTTTTCGTCCCGGGCGAGAGCGTGGCGTGGCTTGGGTCACCGCGTGGTTACACTCACTCAGTACAGCGCTTAGTTAGTGTTTGGCTATCGTATCCTATACTGATCGCGCTGTGAACTTTCGTTATTATCATATTTAATTGACTTTATAATGACTGGAAAGTGTACAAGTGAGAGTGCTGGTGGTGCTCCAAAGAAAAGGAGACAGGCAATTACTTTTGAGATGAAAATGAAGATAATAATGCAGCATGAGAATGGTAAAACAGTAGCAACACTCTCACGCGACCTAGGTTTCTCGCACTCGACCATATCCATTATTCTGAAGGACAAGGAACGTATTCGTGATGTAGTGAAAGGAACAACACCTATAAAGGGAACTATAATTTCGAAGAAAAGACAAGGTCCTATTCACGATATGGAAAAATTATTGGTGACATGGATAGAAGACCAGATACAGAAGCGTGTACCCTTTAGCCTTCTAACCATACAGGCTAAAGCAAGAAGCCTGTTCCAAAGCCTGAAGGAGCAGGCAGGAGATGAATGTGATCTAACCTTTACAGGAAGTCATGGGAGGTTTGATAGACTTAAAAAGCGCTAGTCTACGCAATGTTAAGGTGAGTGGAGAGACAGCTAGTGCTGATGTTGGTGCTGCCGAAGCTTTTAAGGAGGAGTTAGATGAAGTGATTGTGGAGGGGAATTATTTGCCTGAGCAAATATTCAATGTGGATGAGACTGGATTATTGTGGAAGCGCATGCCTGAGCGGACATATATCCACAAAGAGGCGAAAACAATGCCAGGATTAAAGGCATTCAAGGACAGAATTACACTTCTGTTGGGGGGAATGTTGCTGGTTTCAAGCTAAAGCCCTTCATGATCTATCATTCAGAGAACCCGAGGGCTTTTAAACATGTCAGCAAGCACACACTGCCAGTGTTTTATCGCAGTAATAAGAAAGCCTATCAGTGGCGAAGAGGATAAAAGTAAAAAGTATGACCTTAGCACTGTTTGAGGATTGGTTCATCTTGCTTCATTCCACTAGCCAAGGAGTATTGTCTGCAACAATGGATTCCATTCAAGATTTTGCTGATTTTGGATAATGTTCCAGGACACCCACCACACCTGGACAACATGCACTCTGACGTTAAGGTAGTGTACATTCCCCCTAACACTACCTCTGTCATCCAACCCATGGATCAAGGTGTTATTGCTGCCTATAAAGCGTATTATTTACGTACAACCTTCGCTCAGGCTGTTGGTGCTGCTGAAGGTGAGAAAACGCTCAGAGAGTTTTGGAAGGAGTACAACGTTTTGTCATGTATAAAGAACATTAGTGCAGCATGGGATCAGGTTACAAAACATTGCATGAATGGAATATGGAAGAAAGTCCTGAAAAGATATGTGGACAGTTTTAGAGGATTTAATGAAACTGAAGTTATTTCGGATATTAGTAACAAGATACAGTGACCCCTCGTTTAACGAACGCCTCGGTTAACGAAATTTCGGTTAACGAACTGCCTTCCATAAGGATCTTCAATTCGGTTAACGAACAAAAATTCGGTTAACGAATTTCTTACGAACCGACCTCAACATGTTTTCGCTTGCACTGGCCGGGCAACCAGCTTTAGTATCAGTCCGCCAATACATTAATCGGTTCTAGGGCTTAAATTCCTAACTATTTTAGTAAATATCAAGAAGTTTATACTATTCAATAATTTTAAAAGTTTAATATTCAATTTTTTAGTCATTTTAACAATTATTGAACATAATTGAAGGTAAAGTGACTAGTTTTAAAGCGCAGCATCCAGCCTCTTAACACAGCAAACAGGCATTAGTCTCTCTGTTTTCACTGGAGGTAACATCTTGCTTGAGACTCTCTTCAACTAAACGCTTTTTTCTGTGTTTCCAAGCAAATTATTGGTCATTTTGAAATATATTTTACATACTGACAATATATAATGCAGTACAGTGTTGATTTAAAGAAAATAATCTTGAAATACACCAAGAGAACTAAAATTTTATGGGTGAAATGGTGCCATGGGGTGACTTCTCTTCCACCCCAATGCCTTCTCTTCTTCCTTCTCCTCCACCCCCATTGTAATTCCCATCATCATCATCTTCATCCAGGAGCCTTCTACATACACACCTCAAAGTAAGTGAACTTTTCTACCATTTTTGTTGAATTTAGGAAATTTTCGGTGAGCTGGAACCAATTACCCAAAAACCCATTGAAACAATGGTTTCGGTTAACAAACTTTTCGGTTAACGAACGACCTTCTGGAACGGATTGAGTTCGTTAACCGAGGGGTCACTGTAGTGGAGTTAGGTAAACAGCTTCAGTTAGAAATTGATAATGAAGATGTTGAACAGTTGGTTAAAAGTGTAGCAGAAGAGCTCAGTAACGAGGATTTTATTGAACTAGATGCACAGAAAATTACAGAGGAAGAAGAGAGACAAAATGTAGAAGAAGAACCTGCACCCCCCAAAAAGTTTTCAGTGAAACAAATGGCAGAGGCATTTGCTACAATTAATAAAGCAATGCAAATGTTTGATGGCATGGATCAAAATTATGAGCGTTATGCCAAAGTTGACAGAATGATCCAAGATGCACTTGCTTGCTACAGAGAAATTTATAATGAAAAGAAAAAAACAAACTGTGCAGTCTAAATTGGACATCTATTTTAAGAAGTCCCCAGTGCTGTCTCCTCACGCCCCACCAGTGCTGCCTCTTCACTCCCTCAAGATGATCCAATACCTTCAACCAGCAAGTTTCCACAGTCCATAAACCTGTCTGAAGAAAGTGACATTGATGACCCACCCAGCCCTGTCTCCTTTGCTTCTTCCAGTTAATATAGTCTCCATGTATAATTAGAAAATTATGGGGGCCCCGTGTGCATTCAGCTGACTACATTAAGGGTTAGTGCTATCACACTGTATCCATTCCTCATTATTTATTACTTTTACTGTACTGTATTTCATTGTAGATTTTTATAAATAAATTTTGAAATTTTTTTTTTTAACAATGTATTTTTTTTTTTTTTATCTATGTCGGACTTACGACCAATCGGACTTACGACTTGGATTTGGGTCCCTATCCCCGTCCTAAGTCGGGGAGCACCTGTACACTTACAAAATTATGTCGAGGCATAATTTAGTACAAATACCATATTATAATTTTGAGAACTAGGTGTTCTGATTATTTTCTATTCCAAGCAGTAGTTATTTTGGCAAGTTTGGGGGAGATTTTCTTGTACTGTATAAATTGATGTATTACCTAAGCAAGAATTTTCTAGAATGCGCAGTATTGCATCATTTTTTTTTTATGATTTATGTATAGTAAGCCTAGATCATTCTAGAACCTTCCGGGCATATCTCATTCTGACCTGCAATGCCTGGATAGTGCTAGGATGCTCTGGGCACCTGATATGTAAAAACAGCAGCAGCGAGGTGTCTGGGAGAAGTAGTCCCCTGTTTCTGTTCAGAATGTGAAGTACAAGCCTAGTAACAGCTACAGATAATTGTTGTTCACGTATTGTGGAATTTTTTTTAGTGATATACAGTAGTGAAAAGACTAAAGAATTGTATACTGGTAGTGTGCCGCCTGTATATACAGTATTCAAAGTGAGAAGTCCACTGGTAAAGACATACCCTGTGAACAGTTTTGTGAAGAATTAGTGATTATTAAAGTAGACTGCAGATCACAAGTGTGTTTCTGTAACCTGGCACCACAGTCAACTTACTTTTTAAAAGTATGTACCAACTCAAGACTTAGTTCAAGGATAGTTTGATTTCATTTGCTAAAGCTACAAATCAAGCAGGTGGTGGCTTACTTGCTACAAAATTTAAGTGAAATATCTGTGTCCGTCAATAATACAACACCAACTTCAAAATATGAACTGTCAAGCATATAAAAAGCAGTGGGTATTTGGTTGTGACCGGTAAGTTCCTACTAATGCTATTTTACAGTGAGTGCCCTCTGATTGGCTAATCGTCCATTACCAGCGAACAATGCAATTACTATATTTGACCGTGACTGGCGGCATTTGGCACTTATTTTGCCACGAGTCAATCGTTGTGTAGCTGTAAACATGCCTAACTATATTTCTATTGTGCATGGAAACTTATCATTAGAACCTAAGGTCTTTTTATATTATTGCACCGTTTTATCTCTAGGTGCTAGAAATATGTTTTTCGAATATTTAGACAATTCCAGGACATTTTTCGGTAAAGGTTTACAAAAACGTTATCACCAGAAGGAAATGTGGGATTTGGTTAAAAAATTTTGTACACACTATTAGCATGATATTAAACTCAGAAATGGAAATGACAATACATAGAACCTAATAGAACCTGACCTAACATACCCATAGCTTGGGTATGTTAGGTCAGGTTTTATTATGTTCTATGTATTAACGTGCTAATTTATGTGTTAAACAACTTACCTTAATATTTATGTTGATATACATCAGCAATGGTGAAGAAAAATTCGTGGAAGAGTTCACCATCATTTAGGAAACGTCTCTTGAAGAGGTATTCAGCGAGGTAAACAACAAAAATGGCGCCGGGAGGAAAATTGTGAAGCAAGATAGAATAAATAAAAAATATATATAAAATACTTAAAATTATACTAGAAAGTTGTCATTTCTTTTAATATACTTAAAATCATCAAAAAAAAAAAAAAATTGAAAAAACTAAGAAAATCAACAAACAACTTTTAGTGATAACGGTTTCGTAAACATTTACCCATTTTTCTTCTACGATAATTTCGTCGAAAATTAAGGATAACCGAGATGTTATTTTTCAAATATTACTATAGTTTGTATGTCACAAGTCACCCATTCCTTGGTTACGTCGGGCAGAGAAGCTCTTATTGTAGTCTCAAAGACCATGGTTACACTCACTTTATGATTAATCATTCTGAAAATAATGTTCTGGAAAATCCTGAAATTCACACACAAAACATTGAAAGAGTCTGGTTAGATTTAAAAAATATGTGAAACGGCCTGGAATTCAAGCGGAGTATTTTGAACAGTATCTAGCACGTTATCTGTTTGTTAGAAACAATAAACACAACTGGCTGCACAGGTTTTGCATTCAAGCAGCTCGTCTGTACCCTCCTCAAAGTGACCGACTCCCACGAGCACCACTTCAAATCATCGATTTAAACATTCACGACCCAGATGAGCCAGATTCTTCTTCAAATTAAGGTACGACATGGGGGTATGAACAAGGGGGGTCCAGGTAGGTGGAACCCCCCTGATTAAATTAGGTTAGGTTAGGTTAGGCGATCCGACTAATTACCCAAATGTACCCAAATGTAGCCGCAATGAAGTCAAATAATGGTCCTACATGAATTAATCGGACTGCCAACCACTTCTCGACTAGTATTTGGTGTCAGTCACAAAAAATTGGAAAACTTAATTTAAACCGAGTTAATAGAACGCGTGCTTGTACCGAGGGAGCGAGTAATTACCCAAATGTAGTCGCAATGAAGTCAAATGATGGTCCTACAAGCATAAATCGGGCTGTGAATCACTTCTCGATTATTATTTGGTGTCAAAGTCACAAAAAATTGGTAAACTTAATTTAATCTGAGTTGGGTTAGGTTAGGTACATGCACTCGATCTAATAACTCAGATTAAATTAAGTTTACCAATTTTTTGTGACTTCGTGACACCAAATACTAGTCGAGGTTAGGTTAGGTTAGGTTAGGTTAGGTTAGGTTAGGTTAGGTAAGGTTAGGTACATGCACTCGATCTATTAACTCGGATTAAATTAAGTTTACGAATTTTTTGTGACTTCGTGACACCAAATACTAGTCGAGGTTAGGTTAGGTACATGCACTCGATCTATTAACTCGGATTAAATTAAATTTACCAATTTTTTGTGACTTCGTGACACTAAATACTAGTCGAGAAGTGATTGGCAGTCCGATTTATTCATGTAGGACCATCATTTGACTTCATTGCGGGTACATTTGGGTAATTACTCGCTCCCTCGGTACATGCACGCGATCTATTAACTCAGATTAAATTAAGTTTTCCAATTTTTTTTTACTTTGTGACAACAAATACTAGTCGAGAAGTGATTGGCAGTCCGATTTATTCATGTAGGACCATTATTTGACTTCATTGCGGCTACATTTGGGTAATAAGTCGGAGCCTAGGTTAGGTTGTTCTTTTGGTGATTTTCTGTGGGTTTTTTTACACAGAAAAAGGGGTAGGTTAAGTTAGGTTATATTTCTTTCGGTATTAGAAATATGATTTTTTTTCCTGTGTTTTTTACGACTTTTGGAGTATATTGGCTTTGTTCTCCATTGGAAATCACCTGTTTCTGTGATTTCCTCCACCCAAAAACTCACTTCCCAACATCTTCCCTTAAGATTGATAGTGGGGGGGGGGGTGTTATCTCATAAACGAGTGATTTCCAGCGGAAATGAATGTCAAATTCGTTCCAAACTCATCAAAAAACACAGGAAAAACATTTCTAATACCCAAAGAAAGAACGGTGCACTACTATAAATTTACCTAAAGTAATAGAAACCTACCTAACCTTACCTAACTTCCTAGCCGGGAGGTGGACCCCGTCATATTAAACAGATAGTACTTAACCACTCATGATAAAACAGCGTTAGTAGGAACTTAGCCAGTCACGGTAAAATAGTTACTACACATATAAACGAGCTTGCATAACATCTCAAATATAATAATTAAACGGAAATAGAATGGAAACAGGAAACTACTCTACTTGCTCACATCGTATTTAACTTCTTCCATTCCTGAGAGGGTCTTAAACGTGGTACAAGCCTGCCATGCGAGTCACAGATCAGCTGGTCCAAGCATGTTGTGTTTGCCCACCAGCCTCAACATCTTCTAACAAATAAGTTAACATCTTTTCCATTATATATTACATCTTTTTGTTTTAATGATGCATTGTAAAATATTGCGACAATTTGTCGTCAACTTATACAATCATTTATCATTCACAAGAGTTTAATGGCTTAAGCAATGCGCAAATTTCCCCAAGGAAACCACAAAATTGACAATTTTCTTAAGGCCTACGTTACCTATCTACTCAACCCCTTCCTTTCAAATTCCAAACACAAATAGTTTCCTTACCTGTTAAAGCATGAAGAGTAGGAGGAAATAAGAAAGAAAAGAGAAGCGAGTATATACTACAGCTGCTGATTATGCTTGTCTACTTCCGTGCAGCTCGGTGTTGACAAACTCCCATCCTAAATACCAAATTACCAATTCCCGCCTCTTTCGTAACTAACGCGGGAAACTCAAATTATTTTACGACACTTAATAATGATCAGGGGCATCTTTTTGGGTGGGGATTCTTGGCTCATATTTGTGCGTCTCGTTCACTTTTAAAAATGTGTCTAATTTAGGTTTAATCAAGTAAGTTTTTCATTACATTCCGATTGTGAAGCATTGTATCATTCTACATTTATGACGCAGAGGGCATACATAAATTATTGTAAATGACAACAAATGTTAATCCTTTCCTTAAGTTTGAACTACGGTTAAGATGGGGCTTATTTGCGTCCTTGGGGGCAGTGCACGTCCCCTCTTGGAATTTACGTTTTTTTAACATTGGTAAAGCAGAGGAATAGGCCTGGCCGGGAGGTACACAACCACAAAATCAATGCCATATGACAAGATTTATCCATAAAATTTTTGATGAAATGCGTATATGGCTGTGACTGACCATCCAAAGGCTGATCAGAGAGTGAAGTACAGTATTGTGCCTTTAGCTAGACAGTCCATAGTGATAACAGTGACTGCTGTGGTGAAGAGGATAAAAGTAAAAGAAAAAGGAGTGAAAAAAAATGGGACAAGCAATCAGAGCTGGCGAACGCTCGCCCCACAAGGGGTCACAGCATAAGATTGAAGAAGCCGCAAGTCCAGAAAACTGTGAGGGCAAACTTGTTAGGGGTGAGGGTTGTAAACTCTTGGAACAATCTACCATAAAGTGTTGTGACGGCACCGAGTGTGAGCTCTTTCAAGACAAGACTTGATCAACACTGGAGCGGGTTCAGGTACATTCAGGAGCCGGTGCATGCCCAGTACTTGCCAACAGTGCGTAACTGAGACGTGACCGACCGCCCGGGCGGCTAGCGAGCCGATCAGTGGTGAAGAGGATAAAAGTAAAAAGTAAAGTACCACTGTCGTTCGTAAACCAAGTCATATTGGTGCTACAATGTTTTTTTTTGTGTGTGTGTGTTTTCTCGGGAACTGAAATTATGCTTACGACCCACCGTTCATAGGGAGATACAGTGTACACAGTGATAGCACATAGAGATCTATTCGTTGATTAGAACTAGGAAAGAGATAATAAGTAAATAATGGTTAAAAAGAGAAGAAAAGTAAGCAAAGCTGTCTTGAACGGCGTTCATTGCCGCTGTAGTAGTTAAAAGTGAAACGTTTTAGGTAAAAATGAAGTGCCAGACGTACGACTCACTCGGACAGCGGTCGGTTGGCGTTACTTTTCCTTTTCTTTTATCCTCTTAACCATATAATCGGCTCATTAGCCGCTTGGACGATCGGCCACGTCTCAGTTACGCACTGTTGGCAAGTACTGGGCATTCACCGGCTCCTGAATGTACCTGGACCCGCTCCAGTGTTGGTCAAGTCTTGTCATGAAAGAGCTCACACTCGGTGCCGTCACAACACTTTCTGGTAGATTGTTCCAAGAGTTCATAACTCTCACTCCGAAAAAGTTTGCCCTCACAGTTTTCTGAACTTGCGGCTTCTTCAAACTTGAGCTGTGACCCCTTGTGGGGCGAGCGTCCGCCAGCTCCAACTAAGGACACTCGACTAAGTAGTGCCACTTGAGATGTTTATACACCTCAATTAGGTGGGTCCGACTAATTACCCAAATGTAGCCGCAATGAAGTCAAATAATGATCCTACATGAATAAATCGGACTGCCAATCACTTCTCGACTGGTATTTGGTGTCACGAAGTCACAAAAAATTGGTAAACTTAATTTAATCTGAGTTAATAGATCAAGTGCATGTACCTAATCTAACCTAACACAACACAACACAACTCAGATTAAATTAAGTTTACCAATTTTTTGTGACTTTATGACACCAAATAATAATCGAGAAGTGATTCACAGCCCGATTTACGCTTGTACGACCATCATTTGACTTCATTGCGGCTACATTTGGGTAATTAGTCGGACCGCAATTAGGTCACCCCTTGCTCGTCTGTAGTATATGCTAGGCAAGTTCAGGCGCTCCAATCTCTCAGGGTAGCTGAGGAGCCGAAGTGCAGGCACCAGTCTGGTGGCCCTCCTTTGAACATTTTCAACCAACTGACAGTCCCTGGCATATCTCGGGGACCAGACAGGGTGACAGTACTCCAGATGGGGAAGCACTTCACTCTTGAAGATCGTTACGAGCAACGGACCGTCTGGATATCTAAACGACCTTCTTATAAGATCCATTAATTTATTTGCCTGATTTACCTTCTTCTCGCAATGGCCCGAAAACTTCAGCTCATTGTCAACATTACAGGAGGATCTAAATAAACTGCAGGGGTGGTCTGAAAAATGGCAAATGAAATTCAATACCAGCAAGTGCAGCGTACTTAATATTGGAAGAACAAATACTGTCAATGTATATAGCCTTAACATCAACCTAGAAAAGGCGACTTGTGAAAGAGACCTAGGGGTACTTGTAAGCCCGGACCTACGGCCTAGAAAACAGTGCGTTAATGTTCGAAATAAGGCAAACAGAGTACTGTATTGGGTTTTATATCTAGAAGTGTAAGTAATAAGAGTGCAGAGGTCTTATTGCGACTATATCTTGCGCTAGTCAGGCCGCACCTCGATTATGCGGTTCAGTTCTGGTGCCCTTATTATAGAATGGATATCAATTCACTAGAGTCGGTGCAGCGAAGAATGACAAAAATGATTCCGGGACTTAGAAACCTTCCATCTCAGGATAGGTTAAAGAAACTAAACTTGCATTCCCTAGAAAGACGAAGAGTGCGGGGAGATGTGGTAGAAGTATTTAAGTGGGTGAAAGGAATCAATAAAGGCGATATAGATAAAGTTCTTATAATATCCGAGCAGGATAGGACTCGGAGCAATGGATTTAAGTTGGATAAGTTTGGGTTTAGGAGGGAGATAAGAAGGAACTGGTTCACAAATAGGGTGGTGGACGAGTGGAACAAGCTTAGCAACTATGTAGTAAGTGCTGGAATGCTGGAAAGTTTCAAAAGACATCTGTGAGTACTCCTGCTGCATTATAGGATCCTCCTGTTCTTGCTATTACAACTGCATTTCCTCAGAGTCTCTCACATGCAGCCACTGAAGTCACAATAAACGGACACAAGCTGAAGGCACTAATTGATTCATGTAGTTCTGATAGTCTCATAAGTGAAAGCACCACGAAAAAATTAAATCTGAGTGTATCCATTAGTTAAGGAGACCTCTATGGCATCAACGTCATTAAGTATCAGCTCTTCGGGGTTTTCTAATGTAACTTTGGAGCTCAATGGCCAAATGTATCCATCTACCAGTCTTGGGGTATTAAAAGATCTGTGTTGTGACCTGCTTTTGGGCCAAGACTTTCAGATACAACACAAAGGTCTGACATTCGAGTATGGAGGACATAAACCAGAGCTCACAGTTGCTGGTACCAATTCAGTCTGTGCACTCTCAGCAGCTTTGATGGATGAGCCATCGCTTTTTCCAAACCTGCCACCAGAATGTAAACCCATTGCAACCAAATCGCGGCACGTCAGTAAGGATGACCGCTTGTTCATTATGCAACAAACATCTCGCTTACTGTCAGAGGTATCATTGAAGCAAGCTCATCTCCATGGCGCACCTAGGTTGTTGTGGTGAAAGATCCTCTTAACAGACACAAGAAGTGACTCTGCATTAACTACTCTCAGACCATTAATCAATATACGGAACTAGATGCTTATCCACTGTCGAGGATAGACGACATGGTCAATAATATTGCCAATTCCAGAGTGTTTTCTACATTTGACTTGAAAAGTGCCTATCACCAAGTTCCAATCAAGGAATCTGACAAGAAGTACACAGTTTTTGAAGCTGATGGGAGACTGTAACAGTTCTGTAGAATACCATTTGGTGTCACAAATGGAGTTGCTGCTTTTCAACGTTTGATGGACAAGCTTGTGGAAGAAGAAAATCTCAAGAATACGTTCCCATACTTGGACAACATTACGATTGTCGGACATACCCAGGCTGAACACGACGAACATCTTCGAAATTTCTAGAAGTCGCCGAGCACAAAAACTTGACACTCGATGAATCTAAATCCATAAAATCAGTATCCTCCATCAATGTTCTTGACTATTGTGTAGGGAATAGTACCATAATGCCAGAACCTGAGAGGATGCGTTCACTCCAAGAATTGCCGCCACCCACAAACGTAGGATCTCTGCGGAGGGCACTGGGAATGTTCGCCTATTATGCCATATGGATCCACAATTTCTCAGACATGATTCAACCTCGGGAAAGCAGTAAGACGTTCCCACTGGGCGAAGCAGCCTTGACAGCATTTGAACTTTTAAAAAAGCGACTTGTGGATGCAACTCTACGATCTGTCGATGAGGACCTGCCATTTGTAGTGGAGTGCGATGCCTCAGATGTAGCTATTTCAGCAGTCTTGAACCAAGGTGGCCGTCCTGTTGCATTTATGTCCAGGACTTTGCAGGGCGGTGAGCTACATTACCCAGCTGTAGAGAAAGAAGCTACTGCCATTATAGAGGCAGTGCGTACATGGAGCCATTTCCTAGCCATACGTCATTTTGTGCTGATCACTGACCAATACACTGTATCATTTATGCTGGACAACAGAAGGCGAACTAAAATAAAAAATAATAAAATACAAGAATGGAGGTTGGAGCTAGCATCCTTCAGCTACACCATATGGTATCGCTCTGGAAAGGAAAATGTGGCTCCTGATACGCTGACCAGAGCATTTTGCTGTCCAACATTTCCTGCATCTACTCTCACTGAAATCCATAATGGACTCTGCCATCCTCAACAGATGTAAAAAGAACATGTGCATCTTGTAAAGTCTGCGCAGAATTGAAGCCCCAGTTCTACCGCCCATCAGAAGGGACACTCATCAAAGTTACTCAGCCTATGGAGCAGCTCAGCATTGATTTCAAGAGGCCTCTACCATCAGTGACCCGTAATCCTTATATGTTTACAGCCGTTGATGAGTACTCACGCTTCCCTTTTGCATTCTCATACCCTAACATGCACACCAC